CCAGTATGCTTGTTTTAGGTCTGAAGATTAAAAACTCTAGTGCTATTCCTTGATTGTTTTCATTGATTTTATCAGGCAAGGTGTCATTAATAATTCCTTTGCCTTTCTTTTCTAAAGGATAAGCTGTGAATCTTGTTCTTTAAATTATATTTGATATTATAATACATGTAATGGAAATACTAAGGATAATACAATGATGTCTTGGTTAAAGAGTGCTAAACAATTTTATGAAGGGTTGTGACTGGCAGAACTTTGGCCTCCATTAACATAGTTTTCTTGATGTCACAGTCACTAATATGCTTCATTAGATGGCAAGAACAGTTTACATAGGTTTTACAATTAATCTAGCAAGTCAGTAGACATAAATAGAGTATTGTAGATTCTCCAATGGAATAAGAAATGACAAAATCGATTAAAAAAATGAGGTAGAAGAAATCAGGGAGGTTTGAAGCATGAGAAGAACTCACATTGCCAGCTCAGAGACAGAAGGGAGGTGCCAAAGTGGAAAGCATGAGAAGGACCTGAATTGTGCCCCTTCCTTGTTAATACTGCTGGAAGTCAAACCTCCTCTTCCTCCTCCATACTACCATAAAAAGATTCAGAAAAGAGATGCAACCTGTTTTAGTTACTTCCTTCATTGATGAGACAAAATATCCAGTGCCCAAAGTTAAGTGGGGGAAAGCATTGTAGAGGTTTCAGTCCTGAGTTGGCTGACTTCCAGGCAGAGTGGCATGTGGCAGACAGCTCATGGTGGCAGAAGACAGCAAAAGCAAGAAGGGGGGGGGGGGAGAGACAGAGAGACAGAGAGACAGAGAGACAGAGAGAGGGAGAGAAAACACCCCTTTCTTTACCTTATATTGTATCCATTCTACCTGAAGTATAATGGTGCCAGTCTTAAACAGTGGACTGATCCTGCAGTCACCCACCCTTAATCCCAGCATTGCACTTTGAATCAATTACATGCTATAGATTCAGTCTTTTAAAAAGTCTTCTGAAAAAGTTCTATGACCACGTGAGGCTTTGGGAAGACATCTAGACACAAACTATAGCATAACTCTTTCACATTTTTATTTCAGCTATGTGAGACCCTGATTAGAGGACCTAGCCATGCTATGCTGGGCTTTTAACCTACATAGCTATGTATCAGTAAATGGGAGAGATGTTTTAATCCTTTTAAATTTGTGATGATTTCTTAATGTAGCAATGGAGAACTAATGCAGGAATGGATTGCTAAAGAAATTCTGTGGTTCATATATCAGAGTCCCAAATTACTAGTAATGTTTCCTCTAGCAAGAGGGCATTATCTATGTCCTTTGCCTTTGAGTTTCCTCTTGCCTATCATTCATCTCTCTCTACCTGCCCTGTGTACACACATAAACACACACACACACACACACACACACACACACACACACTCACACAAGCTTTCTAAGTCACCTACCTTAACAATTCAAAGTCTATCATCACTCTCTATCAAGGCATGCCTGTTAACAAATTAGCTGTGGCATTCATACTTAGTATTAGGAAAACATTGATAGGATCTATGATTTATACTTGTCACAGTTTGACAATTCTAGAATAAAGTATCTGTTGGACTTAAGTTTCTGACTTTTTATATTCTTCATTCACAGTACTTAATTTGGAAAAATCAAGGAAATCTGGAAAGCCCAAATTTTGAAAGCCCACTTTCCCCCAAAATAGCTTCTCCCACTTTCTCTACACTTATTAGTGATGCTACCTAACTCAGTACTATCTGGAGTAGTTTTAGGTGGTTAGGCTAACGGGGTGAGGTTAGATTTAATTCATTGGTCTCCTTGATTGTGACTGCTGTCTGACCACTTACTCACTCTGAATTTGGTTACTTGCTAAGTTATATGTATTCTGCCTCTGCATTATGTATTCTTTAATACCTTTCTGATCTCCAAATACTATTCTTACAGCTTCTAGCTGTGCACCTGCCCAGTATCCTGCATGCAATGTTGTCCTGGCCATATCACTGTTCTGCCTGTAAACTTTATGCCTGAGTCCAGTTTACATTTCCCACTTACTCCTGCTTTCAATGGCAGACATCATCTCTCCTCAGTCAATCTGGAGTCTACTCTAGTCAGCAGCATCATTTTCTCTGTCAGGAGGAATAGGCTTCTTACAAAAATGCCCACCTCCATTTCTTGCTCTACGTAGTCTTCAAAGCTCATCTTAAATACCTCTTCATGGCAACACCACCTCCTTCCCCTTCCCTCACTCTCCTCAGACAGTCTTTTTTTTATTCTTAGTACAGTTGATCTGAGGCATCCACACGAATTTGAAAAGCTTGGGTTTTAAAACAAGCACTGACGGCTGTGATTTTGTGTGCATGCTTTGCCATTGATTGCTTCTGGCTTATTAGAAGTAGGTTTTACCTAACGCAGGGTTTTGTTAGTGTTTTTAGGTATGGTCGGTATTGATACTTTGGGAACTGTTATGTATATGCAGTCAGTTTGGAGGCTGCCTGCTGGTTGGCTAATGTTCTGTGATTCAGATATTACATTGTCTGTCATTCATAATCTTATTTTGAGATGTGAAATTAACTTTGCATGAGCTTAGAATAAGGATAGTGGATAGAAAGATTCAGGATTCAGAGGCAGATGGGTGGAGATAGGATATTGGGGGTAAGGAAAGTAAACCCACACTAAAATGGAAAAAATGTGATATTTATGGACAATAGCAACAAAATGTATAATATAAAATTATACCTATATAACTTCATAGAAAATTTTAAAAAAATTAAAAAGCACATGAACAGTGACCCAAAGGATTTAAAGAGTGTGAGAATTCGGGAGTCACATTGTGTGGCTCATCAAACAGCCAGCTCTATGCTCTTAGGTAGGTTTAGAGCCTCCCTGGCTTCAGGTTTCTCATCTGTAAAGTGGGATCCCAGTAGCACAGTACCTTCCTTTATGGAGCTGGGATAATTGCACGAGTTGCTGCTTATAGAAAACCTAGAATAGATCCTGTCACGTAGGGATCCCTGAATGGCCCCAGACACTCTTGCCACCTGCATGGACTCTGCTATTCTGCTTTTATAAACCTTTCTCTTTGTCTCATTTTGTTGATTTCCATCCTTGTCTGTTTTCTCTTGTTTTTTTTTCTGTTCTTTTTTACCTCTTTATATTTCTGTAGCTGCCAAAAAAGTTTCCCTAATATATTTCATGCTGGATTTAACTAAATATATTTCTCTCTCTCTCTCTCTCTCTCTCTCTCTCTCTCTCTCTCTCTCTCTCTCTCTCTCTCTCTCTCTCTCTCTCATTGTGGTACTGTGGGTTGAATCCAGGATCTTCACATTGAGCTACACTCCTAACTGTGGGTTGAATCCAGGATCTTCACATTGAGCTACACTCCTAACCATTTGTAATCATTTTTTTTTTTAATTTTGAAACAAGTCTCAGAAAGTTGCCCAGGCTGGAATTGAATTTGTGATCCTCCTACCTCAGCCTCTCAGAGTGCTAGGATTACAGGCCTATACAACCACATCTAGTTTATGAAGTCTTTTTATCATAGGTTATGTCTTATTTTTTTTATTTTATTTTCTCTTTATCAATTCCTAAAAAAGACAATAACTCAGAAATTTGTTTAGATGAGGATCAAAATTGATAGCTAATTGAAAGACATGGCTAAATTAGAAAATCATAGAATATATATATATATATATATATATATTCATTTTAAGACATTTTTATTAACTTACGTCATATAAATGTGTCTTGTGCAGTTATCTTTAATGAGACCTTAGACTCTTCTGAGTTGTACTGATTTCAATACTCATCTTTCTCTTTTATCAGTCTTGCCGTATCTAAGATTTCTAGTTTCATTTCTTTAAAATGAAATGTTACTTTAAAAGATACTCATGAAGCAAATTGAATATAGAATCTCTGAATTTTCTACTTGTTTCCTATGCTTTCGTGGTTGTCACACATATTTTGACAGTAGCTCTCTTAGTGAGTGTCCAAAGCATTGAACTTCTAGGTTCTATACAAGTAACATCTCCATTTTTTATGTTCATGCTTTATTGATTTATATCACAATTATATATTTAAAGTAACAAACACAACGTGTCAAAATAGGGTATGTAAAACCACACTGAATCTTGTGAGCATCAAATTAACTAGTAATGAAAGTGGACCATGTGTGGCTTCTGAACCAGGAATGTTCTGTTGTGTGGACACTGGGTAATCAGGTGACAGAAAGAGTGGGAGCCATCAGTGAACCTACAGTGCTCAGCAGATGGAATCAGTTAAAGAACTGCAAATAAGGCAGAGGTTCTCAATTCCAGTGTGCATCAGAATTATCTGGACAGATTTTAACAGGCTGTGACAAAAGTCACAACTTTTGAGTTTCTGTTGCGATTCGGAGGGTCAAAGAATTTACTTGGGTGCTCAGATAATGTTAATTTGGTCTGGGGAATGCATCTGACAGCTGCAGACCACAGCTGATTGTGATGGTGTGGATGGGGACAGATCTCTTCTAACATGATTATGCAAGGGCAAAAAGCCATTCGTGATTTCTCTATGTGTTTGTCCCTACATTGTAGTGGATATTCCTCCTGCAATTAGATGGTTCGTGGATTTTCTGTTACTCTTAGTGCTTGATATTGGGGTTATGTTGAAATTTTTAAATCATGCTTGCGTGTGGGAGAGACAGAGAGATCAAAGAAGTTTATTTAGAAATTGTATAAGGATGCAGTGAGAGCTTTTAAAGTGTTCATAGTTGTTGTCATTTGGATTTCTTGAAAAGGATGAAAATACTAGTTAAATTATTTTAATTTCACATGCTGTTTTCAAATCACAAGTCCTACAGTCACTTCATAAGAAAAAAAATTTTTTTGTGTGTGTGTCAGAAAACTTGTGTTTGGCAATAGCTTCCAGCTGCAGGGTAGAAAGACAGCAGTGTGGGTGTGTTGTCAGCACACTGAAAACATTGAGAATGAGACAGAATATCTGATTGCTCTGTAATCTCCCTTTTAGAACTGGCTGACAGAGCTGGAGATCTTCGCTATAATCTTCTCAGCTGCGATCCATGACTATGAACACACCGGAACCACCAACAATTTCCACATTCAGACTCGGTGAGGATGTTGAACTATTTGGAGAAGAAGTAAGAGGGGATAGAGGTAGAGTTCTGGAAGTCAGAGAGGTGTTCTATCTTTTTCTTTCACTTGGTTGCTCTATTTTATGGTTCTGAAGAGCTGAACATTAAAGATGGCCCCAGTCAGTTTCTATCAGCCTAGGATTTAAGAAGCCATCTGCTGTAATTCCCATACTTTATGGAGATACAAGTAGAATATTCTTCTCTTCTGTATTATAATTCTTGCTCTGTTTTTATGCATGTTCTACGCATATTCCATTCCTACTACATGGTGAGGCAATTTGCATATAGGTCCAGATGCCCTCTAAACTAAAAGGACAAGTGATTCAGCTGGCACAATCCATCATCCATCCTTTTTGTCCTCTGATCTCTGGGTTTCTGATAGATGCTATGCTCATTCTGGATTTCATCTCTACTCATTTCAGTGCCTCCCCTAATCCCTCCCAGAATTCTGGGGAAGCAAGGCTGTCTCACATTAAGCCACTTGCCCCATGGACAATTTCTGCATCATTCCTGATACCCTGCAGAAGTAGACATGGACCTCTGTGGAGATACTAAATAGGGGTCTCAGTGGCCCACCTTGAGCCTGATAATCTGTAACTGATATCACTGGTTGACTGTGGTATCTTTCATTCCCAAGCTGTGCATTTATCCTTAATATTCCTTTCAGCACAGAATTCTAGCCAAACAGTATAAGTCAATTGTCATTTCTGCTTGGGGTGAAATCTTATCTGTCCTCTCTTGGTCCAAAACCTTATGGTCTCTTAAGACAGTGACATAGAACTGGGAAGAATCTGACAGTAGGGATAATGGTAGAAAGATGGTAATATAAAGACCAAGAATATAAAGGGACCAGAGATTATTTGAATACCAAATCAGTACTTACTGACTGAAATTCAAAAAGCAGGTGCATCCTCTGGATGGTTTTGTGTTCTTTATAAGTGAATTTACATGTATTTAGTGAACTAAATACTTGATTAGGAGGCACATGAAAGAAGACAATATCATCTGTCTTCAGAAGGTAAATTCCAATGAAATGCAAGCAAATAAAAGGATTTTAAGTTTTAGTTCCTGCCTCCTGCCTCAAAACCTACAGTGATCTCAGTTGCCTGTAAGCAGCCTATGTGTCTCTAAATACAAGAAGCTCCAAAGATAAGCTGTTCTTAGTGTGTATCTGTGGGTAGATCTTTTGCTCTGAGGGCATAGACGTCTTCTGCAGTAAATAGCACCTGCAGAAGAGAGGGAGGTTGGTGAAGCCGTTGTGTGTGGATCTTGCCTGTTGACCAGTATTGTAGTCAGTCCCAACTCAAAAAGTAAAAAGTAGCTCAGTGTCATAAAATACACATTCTTTGATATCTATATATTCCTTGGTACCTAGCTTAGTGAGCATATATGGTCACATCTTTTATCTAGACAATTGCATGTTTTGTGTTCTCTGTAGAAGAGGCAAATGCTAATGGGTTTCATTGTTTGGTTTGAGATGAAAGTTAGACATGTGCCCTCCTCAACAGCACTTTCTCCAGTGTACTTGGGAATCCCTGTTCAGAAACTTAAGTCTGTAACAGGTCCCTTATCCTTTGATGGATGAAATTTTAAGCCCAATACTTGCATAGCATGCTAGATACATTCCAAAACTTGGCTCTGATAAGTGCAAGTTATCTTGGACAGCACTGGCCCTCAGAGGACCTTGTTTTAAAACATGGGCCTCCAAGAACTCATTGTATAAAGATTGATAAAAATTACTGTGAATGCTAAAAATTTTAAATATTTATTTCAGTAAAAGACACATTACCTTTAATCCTTCTCAAAATACTCCCCCTCACTTCAAACACACTATTATTCTTGCCATTTTCTGAAACAGTTCTGAACATCCTCTTTCTTGTTGTGTGTCTTTAGTTCTACTGTCCTGGGTGAGTACTGAATTCACTGAATTGAATTAAAATCAGAATTTGAAATATTTCCAGGAAATTTGACATAACCCATGTGTTTTTAAAAACTGGCTTTGCCAGTTATACGAGGTAATTGAGATTTGGTATAAAACAGTTTTGAAACAATTTTCAGGCTGAATCTAACATATTTTACATCCACATATTGACAGTACTATAGGCCTCATGTATCCATTGATAATTTGTTGTGTTAGTTACGAGTTTTGATTGATACAAATGGTATGAGATTTGTAAACTTTGGGAAAAGTCCTGGTACTTTCCTTTTTTTGCACAAAGTTTTTAGAAGCTTTATTTATGATCCATACTTTCTAACCTGTGAAAGCTACTGAAAGAAATCTCAAGTACTGAATTTGTGTTTTCTTCCAGATCTGACCCAGCTATTCTGTACAACGATAGATCTGTCCTGGAAAATCACCACTTGAGTGCAGCCTATCGCCTTCTGCAAGAGGATGAGGAGATGAATATTTTGATTAACCTCTCGAAGGATGACTGGAGGTAAGCATGAAATGAGGGAAATGCAGGAGAAGCTGTGACAATAGGTGAAGTGTCTGCCTTTGAAAAAGTATTAGTCTATTTTAAATTTCTATCGTTTCTCTTTCTTTTTTTCTCAACCTCTCTTTGTGTCTCTCATTTCTCTATTTGTTTCTTACGAATGTTCACATGCTTGTAAATTAAGACTAAGGATGTTTTGTGACTATTTTTGCTATCTTGTGTCATTCTTACAATAATGAATTGGAAAGGAAAGCCAGTTTGTGTCAAAGAGCTCAATATTGAACTAAAAATTCTTGAGAAAAAATAAATTGAAGATCTTCCAGTAGTGTCCAGCTGATAGTATTTTTGGAAATCTTGTTACATTGGAAGCATTGTTTCCAATGCTTTTCCTGCTGGTATTTTCTAGCCTGTGAGAGGTAGAGAAATGCTTTCAACTGATCTTCTTAACTAGAAATTTTGTCTGACATTTATGAAAAACACTTAGCATTTGCTTTGAATGTCTTAATGTTTTAAAAGTTTCTAAGGAAACTATGTTGAAACTTTTTATAGTAGATACCTAATTCTTTTTTCTAAATGGTAACTGTTTGACTCTGGATTTGGGCACATCTGGAGTTGAATACACACCAAATAACTTACTAGTTGATTGATAATGGAGATGTTGTTTAACCTGCTCTTACATTTTTAACATTTAATTCCTAGAAGATAGTTAATAACTATTTAAAGTAAATGATAGTTTATTCTACAATGTAGTCAAGATTATAGTAAATAACAAAATCCATTTAAAATGCTTAGCACAACCACACAGTAAGCCTGCAATTCAGCCACACAGTAAGCCTGCAATTCAGTGTAGTATCTATAAGCGTGTCCTAGTGTTCATGTATGAAATCATCTAAAGTGTTAAAAAGTTCTGAGTGTACTGTGACTTGAATAGTACTTATATTTTAATTAAATGTTGCAAATTCAACAAAACAATAAGTGATAAATTCAAAGAAAAGCACACCTAGGCATAGATTGCAGTAAAACTGCTAACAGTCAAAGATAAAATTAAGAGTATGACAGATTACATTTAGGGAAATAATTTGAATGACTGTGTACTTTTTGTATAACTTTTTTCAAGAACTATGGAGACCAGAAGAGAATGGAATAACTTCTTAAATTATTAAAGACAAAAACAAGGGCTGGGGATTTAGCTCACCAGTGTAAGCAACTGCCCAGCAAACACAAGGTTGTGAGTTCAATCCCTGGTACCAAAAAAAAAACAAACAAACAAACAAACAAAAAAAAACAGTAAAAAACAAGGACTATGTCAACACAAAATGCCTCACCCTTTGGATATAGTCTTCAGGAATGAAGGCGAAATAAAATTATTTTCAGATATTGAAAAACAGCACAAATTTATCCTCAAAACAACTGTATCATAAGACTTGCTAAGAAAATTATTCTAGAGCAAAACTAGACATATAGGAAAGAACAGAATAGCAAAATATGAGTAAATGCAAAAATACAGTTTTTCTTAATGTATTTGAATTAAGGGCATATGACCATTGAGATACAAATATTACAGCATCATCTCATGGGTTTCATAGTGATGAGAGTGTAACACCTCTGACCATGTATAAAGACTATAACATAAGATTGGCTTGTGGTATTAAATGAACCTACACTATTGTAAGATTTCTTTATCTATTTTACATGATGTGATGTAGTATTAGCTATATGACACCACTAAAAAATTAACAGTACTGACTAAACATAGGGCAAAATTTATTAAATAAATTAAAATGAATTTTAAGAATTAAATAATAACTCAAAAATCAAAGGATGTGTTATAGAGGGGAAAAAAGGAGACAGACCAAACAGAAAACAACATTTTAGACCTAAATCCAACCATATCAATAATTATGTTAAACATTAAAAGACTCAATACTCTTCATTAAATGATAAATTCATATAGACAAAAAAGGCAAGCTCTATTGCATTCTGGCTATAAAAGATGTACTTCAAATATTAAGACACAAATAAGTTCAAAGTAAAAAAATATAAAATTTAGCAAAAAATATGTGTATTGAGACTGGAGCAGTGATAGTGATACTAGGTAAAATAAACTCCCAAAAATGATATTGCCAAGGATAAAGAATGTTTTCTGACAATAATAGTTGTCATGAAAGACTTAACAAACATAATAAGCATTCTCTAAGGTAAACTTTCAAAATGTAAAAATGACCAGGAAAAAGATGGAAGTGTATATTTTCACAATATTATTAGATTATGACATTTTTATTTGAGTAATTAATTTAAAATTTTAACATTCCTGCTTAAGTAATTAACTTACAAAGGGAAAAAATATCAGTGAGGACATAAGAGAATTTAAACAATATGGAATTTAAAATTTATTGCATAGCACTATAGAGAAGAGAGGAGCACAGTATATCTGAAGTTATTTTTAAAATTTCAGTGTTAGAAATAATCTAATTTGAAGAGGTTAAGAGAAAAAATGTCTTAAAATGAGCACAGCCTTAGTGATTTGTGGGAACGTTTCATATAACCAAGCATAAGGACAACTGTGATTCTTAGGAGAGGAAAGAGAATAGCAGTGTGTCACCCTTATTGATATTTATTGAGTTCTACACAACAACTACAGTACCTACCTTATCTTCCAGTGTTTTTAAGTGGGATTAGCATAGTATGAATGAGTAGAGTCTGAAAAGCTGATTGCTCCTTTTCATAATGTGGGGCTCATGGACAGAAAAGCCTCCCATTTCCTTAAATAATATAGAATTTTTCTCACTGTGTTTAAATTGAAACACTGACTCTTCCAGGGCCTTGATTTTTGCTGTTCTCTGTGCTGGACACACACTGCTGACTTTTGTGGAGCCCCAGCTGGCTGATTCTGTGCTTTCAGGACTTGTTAACCTCTACAATCATGTAACCAGATCTTTATAAGATCAGCGGTTATCAGAAGGAGCAAGGGGTGAATGGGTGTTGCATATGGAATTCTGAGGTGCTGAATTTATTCTGAGTACTCAGTACTTAGTACTGAGTACTGAGCTGTACTGTAATGATACATTGCACTAGGCACTTGTCAAATCCTACAGAACTGTGTATTTACTAAGTGAACCCTAATATAAACTGTACTAAGTACTACATATCAATATGGCTTAACAGTGGTAACAATTGTACCCTGTTAATACTTCGAGGAGAGACAGTATATGGAAACAATGCTGTCTGCTCAATTTTTCTATACATTTTTTAAAAAATTAAATGTTTTTAAATAAGTGAAATACCCATACCCAAAGCATAATGTTAGCCTATCTTTTAGGGTTACTTTCAAGTCAGTTCTTTCTGACAATTTTGAATTCAGTTAAGAGAGGACTTCACTACAGTTTTCAGCTTCATTGCAATCTTTCCTGTGAGTTAATTTTCAAAATCACATATGTATCCCACATATAATATTTCTAAAAAATGATTTCTTTAATCTTTCACTCTCATTTATTCTTTATAAAAAGCCTCATGAAAAACTCAAGTTAGATTAGAAATGTCAGAAATTATTAATTGATTTTGACTAGAAGTGGCAAGAAAAAGTAACTTTTATTTTCCTTTTTTTTTTAACTTCCATTCTTTTTTGCTACGGGTGTTCCTGAAAGGGAGTTTCGAACCTTGGTGATCGAGATGGTGATGGCTACAGATATGTCTTGTCATTTCCAACAAATCAAAGCAATGAAGACTGCTCTGCAGCAGCCAGAGGCGTAAGTGGGCTTGTGACAGTGAGGGTTTCCACTGGTGTTTGAACTGGCGCGTGTCCATGCCAGGCTTTAGTTTTAGTGCCTCTCCTTCAGCATCGCTTTATTCAGTGGTCTCATAAAGGAATGATGTTTAGAGGAAAGAACGTGAAAATCATACATATCTAACATTTAGGCATGTTCTTACCAGAGCTGAAATAAATAATAGGGCTGCTCATAGTTTGCCCCAATTAGAATTTAAACAGTTCCCCTATGGAAAACTAAGTTATCCAAGATCTCTGTCAGCAGAGGCACTGATACATCAGTGACTCCTTGGTGTTCATTGTCTTCTTGAATGACATAGCTATTCCATTAAATGCCTTGCATCAGAAGTGTCCAGGTCATAAACAGGGAGGCCAAGGCCGTGGGCATCCCAGGAAGAATGGGAGATTAAAAAGAATAATGATTTGTAGAACTCTTAGGGTAGTTCTGAGGAGTGCAGTCACCATGTGTTTGGGTAATTTGGGTTTACAGGATTGAAAAGCCCAAAGCCTTATCCCTGATGCTGCACACAGCAGACATTAGCCATCCTGCAAAGGCCTGGGACCTGCACCACCGCTGGACGATGTTCCTCCTGGAAGAGTTCTTCAGACAGGTACCTTTTTGCTGTGCTGTTTGTCAAGACCGTTGTTATCTGATGTATCACAAATTCCAGATTTCAGTACTGCTGTGATAGAGACTACTGAGATTATAGTAATTGCTTCACAGAGAGCATGAATCATAGCTGTTTTTTGTTTTCTAGTCATATGCTGTTGAATCTTACTAAATTCTGATCCTTATTGTGTGATAAAAATGCATTTCTATCCTACATATTTCTCTGGAGAAGAAAGTATTTCATTTCTTGTCAAAATGCCATTCAAAGAACCCTTTGCTTTTGTATTCCCTTAATGAGTTAAAAAGATACTGTTTATTTGACTTTACTCTGTGGGATTAATTTGTTAATCCCTAACTCCTGTCTCTTAATTGTTTGAATTGCTTCTTTCAAGGAAATAAGACTATTATATAAAATTCCAAAACTAAGTGAGGCAAATAGGATGCAGGCATCAGTAGACACTGTTGTTCTCATTATTTTTAATCTTAACTATAGCCTAAATTCCAGGGTTGTATTGTCTTTGTATACATGGCTTTAAAAACAGAGATGAGCTCCACATTCTGTTGCTGTAACAAAATGCCTAAGACTGGATCTTTTGTAAAGAATATAGGTTTATTTAAATCATGGTGCTGAAAGCTGGAAGGTCTAAGATCATAGGGCTGGTGTCTAGTAAGGGCCTTTTTACCACACGTAACATGGTTGGAGGGCATCATCAAACAGGTATATATGCAAGGCAGCATCTACCTTCCTCTCCTTAAAAAGCTACTTATACCATCATGGGGACCCTACTCTGCTAATTTTTATCTAATTCTCATTACCTTCCAGAGTCTCCACCTCCAAATGCCTTTAACATGTGACTTTGGGGGTGTTTCTAACAGATGAAATTTGGAGAACACAGTCAAACCATAGCCCAGGTTACCAGATTTTTGGCAATGCATTGCTGTCTTCATTACTTTTATTCTTATGATTCCCTTTTGAATGAAGAAATTATAGTAGGCATCTGTATGTGTTTTGTTTCTTCTGCTAGTAATAAAGCAGAAGTAGAGTTAACAGTGTACTAAACAAACGTCAGAGACACTTTATTGCAGCTTTACATCCAACCAGCAGCTAATAAAATCGTGCCTTTAATGCCCTATGGTGGTATCTAAGATTTAATTTTGGGGGGTGGGACATACTTTAGGGTGAGGTTGGACCAGTTTTTTTAGGCCCTTCCAGCATTAAATGCCTTATGTCTCCTTCTCTTTGTCCATAGGTATCCAACAACATACAAGGCACATATTCACCTGCACCCCAAAGCTGTTCTGTAAATTCTCCAGCAAGTACATGTTCTGCTTCGGCTCTTATAGTTCTCAAAGAGAATCCAGGATATGTGTGAGGGTTGGCAGGGAGCTAAACCTTGTTGCATCTCTATACCATGACTCTGCAAACGCATTCGTCATTAAGGGCTTATTTTGAACCATTTTTTCCAAAAGCTATTTTTCTAATAGGAATGAGAAAATTTTCTCCAATATCCACTCCATTGCCATATGTTTTCTTTGATATAACTTTTGTATCCATCTCAAAATGGATATAAATGTGATATATGAAGTGATTCATTTTATAAATTATGAGAAAGTGAATGTGAATTAATTAAATATGTGAACATCTTCTCCCCATAAAAGAAACTTGTTTGTATTCACATACGCATGTGCTGAAATTGAATGAAAATGTGCTGGAAGCAATAGGGAAATAACCATATTGAGGGTTGTTTTTAGTTTTTTATTTTTGTTGCCTTTTGGGAATGGAGTCACTGGATTGGAACTATTTTTTAGTAATTATAGTTCAGTAAATTATTTTTATTGACTTAATATTTTAACCAGGATGTCAGGAGCCACACTGAGTAGCCCATGTAGCAGAAATGTGGCCTCAGCTCTTAACAATAGATTTTTAAATTAGACAGTTCTAATGGGAAATCACAATGCAACTGTAGAGCCTTTTTTAAAATTACATTTGGAAAGTTGGGTTGTATTTCAAAATAAGGGCATAGCCTCAGTGCACATGGATCAGACCTTCCCTGCGTGCTAAAAGAGAATGTTACATCTTCAGTTTAGTAACGTATTTTATAAAACTCAAACCAATGTCACAGAGTGCTTTTCAATAAAATGCTGACTTTAAAGAAGTGTAAGTTTACCTCCTTGGTAAATACATCTTGTGAGTGTTATGGATCATTTTCTTCCTGTTGCTGTATATTTTTATATTTTACATGAATTTCTTACAATATTTTAAATTCCTATTTGTGAATACTTCTTCATTTTTACTTACTTCATGTATTAGAGGTCTTGTGATAATTGCTTTCTTTTTTAATAATATCTTAAATATTCTTTCTATATTAACTCATTTTTTCTGCGTGACTTTATTCTGTTCTTTTTTCAACTCTCCGAATTGGGTGCTCAATTCTTTTATTTTTATTTGTGCTTGTTTAAAAATGGTAAAGCAAGGCACTTGTATTATAATGCGATATCACATAATTTACTAAATAGTCTGTAGTTTTAGTTTTGATTTCTCTTTTGTCTAGGAGTTGCTTCAGATAGAGGGATTTGATTATAGTTTTTTACTAGTACCTTTGGAATTAATTTTTGTTTTTTTGAAATTTGACCATAGACTTTTCATTCTTTGTGTATCAACTACTTACTATACAATCAACTTTTGTGAATTTCATCAATCACAAAAACGTAGATTTATTTTCTGTTTTTCAGGATATAGAGTTAAAGTATCAGATATATCTATTTACCTTCTTGATAATGTCACTATACATCACTTTTTAAATTTTGAGGTATTATGACAGATGCTTTTATTATTTTTTCTTTCATGCATTTTAATTTCTGCTGCTTAAATTCTGATTGTTACTTGGTTCTCAAATATCAATAACTGTTAGATTCTTATAGTTTATTGTCCCCATTATTCAATATAAAGCCCACATCATTGTCTCATTTAATCTTTTCCTAGAATTAAAATATGACTTATATTAAGAATTTGGCCTTGGCTTTACATGTTATTTTACTTTGAATCTTACAGAGACACTTGGGCTTGAGTATGTTTTAAACACCATATAAAGAGCTGGGCGCTGTGGCTCACGTCTGTAATCTTAGCACTAGGAAGGCCAAAGCATGAGGAACATTGTGGGTTCAAGACCAGCCTGGGCTACAAAGTAAGCTCAAGGCCAGCCTGAACTGCATAGAGAGACCCTGTCTCAAAAAAAAAAAAAAAAAAAAAAAAAGAAAAGAAAACAACGTGTAAAATCAAAATTTTACATAAACCCGTATAAATTTTTTAAATTTAAAGTCAGTCACATTAACATCTATTAAAAGGAAAAGAATGCTTGTTCTTAGTTGTGATTGTAATATATATGTGTGTGTGTATATATATATAATCATACATCTTTTTAAAAATATAGATCACTATATTATCTCTGCTATTGCCTTTAAGTCTGATGATCTAGAAGTTTGATATTTTTATTGAAAATAATAATGGAATTTTTATTAATTCATTTTTACAGTAGATAATGTTTGCATTCCTTGTGGGAAGTTGATACCTGTATGTAACATATCTTAATTCCCTGTTCATCCCTTTCTCCATTCCTTCCTCCCTTTCCCTCCATCTCTTGATCACCTTCCCACCGGAGAAAAATTTATCTCTCTACTTCTTTTATCTGTCTTTTACTTTGTTCTTTATTTGTATTTTGGATTTCTCATATAAGAGAAACCATGTGACATTTAAGCTTGTGTATCTCATTTATTTCACATAAAATTAGTATCTCAAAGTGTACTTATTTTCTTACAAATGACTTAAGTTTATCTTTCTTTTACTTCTTCTAATAGTTAACATACTAATGACAACTAAACCCTCTATTTATTTAGCTAGTATCCAGTGTCTCCTTCTGAAAGAAAATTAGTAAACTTCTGTTTATCCACATTTCCTCACCAACATCCAATTTAAATGACTTTATTACTGATTTAGTTTTTCTCATCTGTACCTTGATTATTTACTTTATATACTTTATATACCAGATAGAATTAATATATTTTGCTATCTCTATAAAAGATATAGAAGCCAGTTATTCCTTGCCTCCCATGCCTTTCTCTTTTTTTTTTTTTTGTAACATAACTAACTCCTTGTTGTGATTTGTTGATTATATTATTTCTAAGTCTTCCTAAATTTCTAAACAAGCATTCTATTTTATGGACTGTATATTGTTTATAAAAGCAAGCCAAAACAGTGTGACTCAGAAAGATGGAAAAGAAACAAATTAAAAAGGCACAATTTTCCATTTCTTCTTGTCTTGGCCCTATTCAGCTTTGGCATTTTGACAAGTGGCTTTTTCTAGACGCACTGGTGGAAATCAGATTTGTATAACTGCAGGTTTTCTACTCCTATTATACCGAGGTTGGGTTTGCTTGGGTCCGATGTTTTGGGTCCGATCTTTCCTTGCAGTCCTTTTTACTCGTGTCTTCTATACTTGAAGGCTGCTATGAAAAGATTGAAGCCAGGAAGAAATTGTTTCCATGTATAGGTGGTGATCTTTTCACTTATGTGCCCTAAGGACTTTTTAAAGATTTTTTGTTTTGCAAATTCAGTGTATATAATGAAGATCATTTCCCTTCTTCAGTGGCCCAGGGACAATAGATACTGTTCTGTATGAACTTTTCTTAGGACATGGTATGTTCTTTTCTTCTGCAAATTCAAGTTACATTTACTGAATCATTTAGTGTCTACGTTTTCTCCTTGTTTAGTTCTCTTACCAGGGCACACAGCCATTCGTAGGTTGCCTCTCTTGTTCCTCTTAGAACCTGTTAGCCGTTAGGTGGCCGGCTTTTCCTTTCCTGACCTCCACGTCCCTCCTGCATTTTCATCAGCGCAGCTGTTCTTTTTGCTGCTTCATGTGAAGTCTTCTTAATGTCACGATACTATCTGTCTTTGCTACAGTTGTCTTGTGCTCTTTTAGCTCTTGGTCTTCTGAGCTTATTTTGGATAATTTAAGGAGTTTCTTTCTGTTCCAAAAAAGAAGTTTGGTCATTACTTAGGGGAACCGTTTTTCTAATATCCTCCCATACACACATACACTCAGCTTTCTATTTCTGAACTGCTCCCTCTCTAATTCATTCCCTCCATTCATCCCTTGTGTCCTCCCTGCGTTTATTTATTCCTTCTTTCCTCCTTTCATTCTGGTGATTGAATCAGAATCTTGCACATGATAAGTAAGTGCTCAGTCACTGAGTCGGGGCTGTTTTCCCCTGAGGTAACTTTGTACATTTTTTGTTTTACTTTTTTTGGCCTGTTTTTGTTTGCTCCTGGTAGCTCTTTCTCTTCTTCCTTTTCCTCCTCCTGCTGTTCTTTTTATTACTTTTCATCTTTTCTTCTCCTTATCATCCTCGTTCTCATTTTCTTTTACTTCCCTTTCTTTTCTTCTTTTTTTTCTTTATGCTATTCCTTTTCCTGTCCTCTCCATGCTTCCTTTTCATTTTATTATCTTTAACCCACCTTTTGAATGAAATATATTCTTTTGAATCAGTTATTTACAGAAGATTTGTACCAGGGAGACACAAGGGCAGGAGTATTTTACTCTAGGTAGAATTATCTCTAGTGTGTTATGTGTCTACTCAGAAGTGATTGTGCATATGTATGTGTGTTAGCCCTTATTTTTTCCAAAATAACAGTAGACAGTAGTTTCATAGTTGGTCATAATTCCTTTTTTTTAATAAAGGATCAAACTCCTGACCTTAAGCTTGCCAGGCAGGCACCGTGCCACTGAGTTACATCCCTGGCCCCAGTTGGTCATAATTCAATCTCTGTCCTGCACCAGCCTCTTAGCGTCTTTCCCTGTCCTTCTTTGATACTCACTGCATTTGGCAGCCCTTCCACATATAGTTCTCATTTAGATCACAGGTTTTTTCCTTGTGTTTATGTTTGCATGTCTGCTTCTTATTCTCCTTATTTTTGAGGTCACGACTTCTGAGAAGTAGGTCTGAAACCTACTGTACTATATTGTATTAAATTCTCCAAGTTTTTCTCATAACTCATATTTCTGATTTCTTCCACAGGGAAAAGAGTATGTATACTGGTGCCTTTTGCTCTGCTTAATTCTTTTGTTGGCTCCTAACGTTACTTTTCCTTCATTTCACGGAGGGACTCACTTGAAATATTACTTGCTTGCTTTTTGATGATTTCACATTGATACATGCCATTTTCCCTGTGAAGTTCTAGTTCAAGAGGGACTTCTTTTGAAATGTTTCTTGCTTACGTATAACTGCAGTAACAAACAAACTTCAAAATGTATAACAGGACATGTGAATGGAGGTTTACCACACTTACGTATACTACAGAACAAATGTCTCTTGACTGGTGGCAGATTTTTGGTAAGCAGACGATTGCCTGTAAGGCTTCCAAAACTGCTTGTCTACATGAAACCAGCAGAGGGAGGAAGAGCACGGAGAAGTAAAAAGTACAGGAGATTTGATGCATGCAACTTGGCGCAACACCACCTCCTTCTCTTGCTGTGTTATTATCTAGCCCTAATGTGAAGGCAGTGTAGGCAGTGTAGACCTTCTGTGTGAACCAGAGGTGAGGGAAAAGGTTGGGAGTTCAGTGCTCTCTAACTTGCTTATCATAAATGCCAGAATCACCAAAAGAACTTAAGTGTTTCTAAACAAATTAGCTTTTCATTGGCTCAACAAACACTCGTTGCCCTCTTTCTTCATAGCTACCATATGACTTAGTTTGTTGGAGCTATCCTAACACCCACTGCAGGAATCAGAGTTATTTTTGTGAACTGTCCTGCATGGAAAAAAAAATGATTTAGTTTAAAAAATCCTTTGTAACAATCAAAACTTCTTGAAAATGTTGATCTCTTCAATAAGGAGAAATGTGTCTGAATAATTCCAAAAGGACCAGTAGCTGTGAAGCCTTAGGATATTGTGTGATCTGCCAATTTAGATTCACCAGCAGATGTCCATTCCTCCAAATAACTTACAGTACATTTTTTCAACTCATAAATGTATCTGTATTCCAAAAGGCATTCAGTTATTGCCATTTTAAAATGGAGTTTTAATGGTTGACTCAGATCAATTAAATAGGGAAGGTGTGCTTGGTATCATAACTTTGGGCATATGCAAATTCTAGGATTTTGAAGTTAAATTTAATACTGTACAAATTTTCAGTGATGAAATCCAAAATAATGCTCATGCCTTAACAGTCAATAAATGAATGTTTACCAACTCACTTTCTCATCCTGCCCCATTAAAATGTACCAACAAAGCAACTTGTATCCCTGTCACATAGAAGATAAAAAAGACTTTCATTGTTATATTGCTGATCTATCCCATGAAATGATCACGATACTAGAATTGGTGTCAAAAATGTTCTGCCTTGTCTTCCTACTGCCCAGTTGGAAATGGTGCAAAAGGAAATCATTTTTCTCCTGCTGCTTAGGAAGTAGAGTGGTTCTCAGCAGCACATACTTGGGGAACAGAAGAAACCCTATGTCCCATGGTGTGGGTATCTATGCAGGAAAAGATGTGAAAAGAACAGAGCCACTGCAGGACTGTTCCTGAGGAGTTAGAATGTCCCCATCTCTCTCCAGACTCACTGTTCAGTTTCCTCCGATGTCCCTCCCTTTCCATCCTTCCAGTGGACTTTGAGTCTATATGTGTAAGCCTGCATCCTTCACTCTTGGTAACAATCTTTAAAAAGAAACAACTTTCCATTTTTTCACTAGGTCTGATGGCAGCTTGTTATAATCTTTTATTTACCACTAATGTACTGGCAATATTTATTGTAATTAAAATGTATTAAGTAGAACAAAATCACTAAATATTTTTCAAATCTGACCTTAAATATCATAGTTGCCTATTTGGAAACAGTGATAGTTCTTTTAATAGTTCTTTCTTCAAAATTTACTTATGCAAACCATTCTTATTTCATCCTAATGACAGTCATATTTTGTAGGAATTATTATTTCATATTTAAGAGATGATAAAACATAGATGTAGGAAGGGACAATGACCTTTCGGGGATCCCACATCAGTCAGGAGAAATGCAGGACCCCAGCACAGGCCTTAGCTATTGTGCTAAGCAGGTTCTTCTTGGTGAAATGAAAGCACAACTTCACTCCTAGTGACAGTCACATGTCTTGCCCTCCTGCCCAAATGTGGCTGAAGTACTGAGCTTCAGGTTTGTTTTTGTAAAAATCATGTCCATCAACCAAGTGTGGTTACGCACCTCTAATTCCAGAACTCCAGGAGGCTGGGCAGGTGGATCACAAGCTTAAGTCTCATCTGGGTAACTTAGTGTGAGATCTTATGTCAAAATAATGTTAAATGAAATAAGTCTCATATAAGCTTAAATATTGCATGATATCTTTTATATGAGAAACTCACAATATAAATAAAGAACACCATAAAAGATAATAGTTTTGAAATAGGGAAATAGATCTTTTGCAAATGGGAAGGGGACCAAGATATGGAGAGACAGGTGAGAGAGGAGAGGAAAAAAAGAATGTAAAAAGAATTAAAATATATTATGTACCTGTATCAGTTCCCAACAAGGAATGTAAACTGTATGCTCCGTAAACATGTCCTCATAAAAAAAAAATTAAAATAATAAAAAAATAAAAGAAAAGAAGCTAGAAGTATAGTCCTTGGCACTTTTCGATAGTCCAAAATATAAATAAATAAATAACTTAGGTGATTAATATCTCCATCAACAGACTTTGCTATTACTTATCTGTTGTATTTATTACATTAATGCTTTTGATGAGACTGAGAAAATATTGGTCAGAATATATTTTTTATTTATTGCTGCCTAACTTCTTTTTAAATTTTTAAACTGGAGATTGAACTCAAGTCTTTACCCTGAGCCACACCCCCAGGCCTATTTTCATTTTCTATTTTAAGACAGCTTCTCACCAAGGTTGTCGGTTTCCCAGGCTAGGCTGTGGCCTTTCTTCCTCTGTCTCTCAGAGTGCTAGGATTACAGACATGCATCACCATGCCCAACTCTTCTAGTTTTTCCTAGTCCACTTTTCACTGCAGTCTTGAGTCCTGGTATAACACGGAAGTACTTATTCCAGTTTCATGTGGCTTCAGGGAGATTTAGAACACAAAGCCAAATCAGTCCAGTGCACTTTGAATTTTAGATTTGGATACTTCCCACAGTTGGGAAGGGTTTGACGGCCATACAAAGGTCACAGGTAGACAGGAAAACTTGAGAATTCGCAGCAATTCTGGTTACAGTGTTGGTGCAGATCATAGCACACGTGGTTTGCTGCCTCCTCTTTTCCACAGGGACTCTATTCCTTCCCAGTGAAGCTTTGTCCACAGCAGCATGAGCTTTTGCAGTTGGATGGAGTGATTGTACCCCTGAGGGCTTGGCCTCCTGAAATCTTTTATACAAAGGAGCAGGCCCCATAAGGACAGTTTGTATAATGTAATTGTAATAATTAAAATAAAGACCAATGGCATAAGTGGCAGCTGAGATTGCTAAATAAAATCTGGGTGGCTCAGCCTGCTGGGTTATTTTTAATTATTTTTTTTTTAATTTACTGTGACTTTCTGTTTTTCTAGGGTGACAGAGAAGCAGAATTGGGGCTACCTTTTTCTCCTCTGTGTGACAGAAAGTCCACCATGGTTGCTCAGTCTCAAGTAGGTATGTGTTTGCCGTCCACTCAGTGCAAAGAAACACCAGATGAGAAGTTGTAAAAGGAAGCTTGGATGCTCCCAGGAATTCTCTGACTGGGGAAAGAATCACAGCTTCATTCTACCAAGCCCTGCTCCTGGTGTTGGCTTCTTAGGACGACTTCGTTCTTGTTCTCAGAATGGAGCTGGCTCCTGGGATATTCTGGTTTTTCTGTCTATACCTCCCAGTAAGAGAGGCTTCAATTTTTTAAGGAGATGACAAGTATCATTGTCAGGAGGCACATTTGGCTTCAGGCTCTTCACCTTGTGTGTAGCACCGAGAGCTGCTGGGGCCCTTCTCACAGTTGTTCTTCTACACCTGTGTTCAGGAAATCCCTTTGCTCTAAGTAAGCCTATTTCCAAGAACGGCTCTTCCTGAGTCCTTAAAATGTTTCCTTCCTGATTTCTTTCCTTTTTTTGTCCTTGTCTCCCACTTTTTAAACACTTTATTTTGATAAGGTTAATTTCTCTACTGGTAATCACCAATTTAACCATTCTGGAAATCCTCAGGTGTGGGGAGAGGGTACCAGTGCCATTCATGTACCTTCAAAGAATGCGAAATCATTCAAAATAAATTTTAAAAGGATTTTTTCATTATTCTCATTCTGTTTAAAGTGCTTATGTGTTTCTTTATATTATATCTCAAGTCATCTTTAAATGTTAGGCACTGGTAAGCATTAAAATAAATGTTACAGACAAAGGCAAATTATAAATGGTACCTGTGTTCAAAGACATTCAACTGGTATGGGAGGTCGGAAGGATGTTATGAAAACAAAACTGTGTCAAAGTAGAACTTGGAATACAGAACAAAATGTGTGCTCCATTCATCCCAGGTTATCCACAAAGACTTATTGAAGGATATTATTTGAATTGCATTCTAGGAAGTAATTACGCACTGCTTTAGGCAAAGTGTTGTGTATTAGAGTTGAATAGGGGCTGAGTAGAAGGGCCTTCTAGACCAGGGATGTAACATATAAAACTTGCCTTGCAGAGCCAGTGAATTTGTACTATCTCCATATGGCAGGAGATACAGGAAGTGGATGCAGGAAAAGACATGTCTGGAGAAAGATCAGGTCCAGATTTCATATCATGCTAAGAATAGCAGATACATATACTTTGCAATAAGAAATGACATGCCTAAGTAATTTTATGGAAAGTTTAAAATGTATAAATTTATATTTTAGCCTGTGGGCTAAATCTGACTCACCACGTGTTCTTATAAACAGTTTTATTATAACACAGCTGGGTCTATTTATTTACTTATTGTCTGTGGCTCCTTTGGCCCTATAGTTAGCAGAGCTGACTGGTTTTGATACAAATGATATGGACTACCAAAACTAAGTAACCATTTGGCCTTTTGCAGTAAATTTTTGTTGACTCTTCCTTATTTTATAAACATTTCTCTGGCAGTAGCCTGAAGGATTATGTGAAGGGTTTTGAGTGAGCCTGGTTTTGAGGAGGTCAGTTGGGTGCTTCCTACAGGACTTCAGGGAAGAGATGGTGAACATCAGAATTAAAGTGGTAGCAGGAACTCTCAGGAAGAGCGATGGGATATCAGGTGTAAGGAATTGGCTGGATGCAAAGCTTAAAGAAAGGCAAGATTCAGAGTAATTAGATCATGATCCCATCCACAAGCACTAGAGGAACAGCTGATGAAGTAGGTTTGGTTTGGACATGTGGAGTTTAGTTTGGGGAAGTGTAAACATGATATCATCAAATATGTTAATTTGAAGGCAAAATTTAACAGCAATTGACAGTACTACAAATTTGGCTATCATCAGTGTTTCCTTACAAGGACATTATTGGTATGTGGTTGGTTCAGTTATTGTTCCATTTATTACTTCTGAGTCTTTGAGCATCCTTCAGTATTTCCCCCACCTCAGGCATTGAAAGTATCAGTGAACGTTCATACATTTCAACATACCTCTTTAGAGAGAGATAGGCAATGTTCTCTTTAGTGTTCAGTTTCCTTTTAACTGTCATGCATAATGAATTGCCACCATTCACATTATCCCTCAGATATTTCTGCTGTGTTGCAAAACAAATGGGAGAGTTTTGAGCTGTTGAGACAATCATTCTACCCCACCTTCACCTACATACCCAGTGCAGTGGCTTGGTAAATGTACAACTCCAGTTTTTACTGCTCTCCGAAGTTCCAGCACTTCTCTTTCAACTCTGATTACCTTCCTTCATCCAGTGTGCCCTGTGCCTCAGTCAGCAGATGGATCCCCATCATCCTACTCCTTTTGGTTCCCTGTGGTCCCTGCTTTACTGTTGGAGTATCTTGGATGGATCTCCACAGAGGTAGTCCCATCCCCTACAATGCAAACGTTTGTACCTTCTTCACTTCCCACTGGCAATGCATCTGGTTCCCACTTTCTTTACCTTCGGTTTGATCTGTTATAGTTGCTTTGGCCATGATTTTCCTGTCCTCAGTCTGTCCTGTTTATTCCCTCTCAACCATCTTTTCCTAGTTCCAAGAGTCCCTAAGCCCCAACCATCTGTCTTACACCTGCTTCAGTCTTTCTCACATCTGCTACCTCACCTATTCCTCCCCTCTGCACCCAGAATTATGGCCACATCTTCCTCTCCAAAACCATTCCTGAAGGTTCAGCTCAAACATCAAAACCTCCATGAAGCTGTTCTGAGGAAGGGAAATGTCTCCTCTCCCTTTGCAGCAGCCTGCATCTAGGCTTTTCCTATGATCCTCCACATGCTCTAAGGAGTCATTCTTGGGCTCATTTAATCTCCTATAAATTCCTCAAGGGCAGGCAGATTTTGTTATTCATCTGAGTCTTCAATACAGTTCCTAGCACAGCGTTTATTCCCTAATGGGTGCTGAATGTGTATTTTTAAGCAGTTAATTGAATCACATATTTAAAAGTCATCAGAAGATTATGTATGGAAAATAGAACTGACTCATGACATTCAAAGAATATATGACATGAGTAAGACCAATTGCTGTTAAATAACTCTGGAACCACTAGGTAGGTGCATTTTTTTAAAAAAAGGAAAGATTGATTCTGGAAAATATGAAACAGCCCCAGGTCCCCTGGAGCTCCTCTAAGGCACTGCTGTTTCTCCACAGGTTTCATTGATTTCATCGTGGAACCCACCTTCACTGTGCTCACAGATATGACTGAAAAGATCGTGAGTCCATTAATCGATGAAACTTCCCAAACTTGTGGAACAGGACAGAGGCGATCTAGGTCAGTAAAGAATATGGAGACTGAGGTCCAGCTGGTATATGAGAATGGAGTTCTCCTGGGGATGGTGGTGGGATTTTATAAGGATGCCTGCCTTATACTTCCTTAGATGAAGTCACTCTCTCTCTCTTCCTCCCTCTCTCCCTCTTTGCTTTTTTCAGAAGAATTGAAATTGTGCTGCAGGTACCTTCCAGGCTGCCCTGTAAGGGGTGGCCAGGTTCCAAATTATGATACCAGGTCTCTGTTACATCCCCTGCTCTCAGCTTTTACTAACAACAGAAATGACTATTATACTTTTACCCTCTAGTCCCATACAGTCCTAAAAGACAGTAACACTGATCAGAAGTGTTTTTTTTTAAAGTCTTTATTCTCATATATTTTGTCACAGTTACAGAAAGTTGATTAATACCCTTTCCTTCTTCCAATCAGTCTTTTTTAAAATGTTTATTCTTTGTATGCTTTAAAATTTTTTGTTAGTACATATTTTCAGCACATAATAATTACATTTGTTGTGGGGAGTTGGTGTGTGTACATAGCACACCTCAACTACTTCTCAACTAAGTTCAGAAAGAGAATGAAATAGAGAAATATAAACCAGAATGTTTCCAGTCACCTTAGTGTTTCAGTCACCATAGTGTTCTCATCTGAGAAAATGTGTATTATAATTCTTACTGCTTTCTAGAAAGTTCAAATGAGTTCTCTCTCTCTCTCTCTCTCTCTCTCTCTCTCTCTCTCTCTCTCTCTGTACACATGTATATGCATGTGCAAGTTCTAGCAGAGGAAGAGCTAGCTACAGTAAAGCTGTCAATTAGTCTTTATTAACAGTACTACTACTGCTACAACTACTAGCATTACCCCCACCACTACTTCTACCATTCCTCCTGCCACCACTGTTACTATGGTTACTGCTATTACTGTAAGTATGATGGTGCCTCTCCTCCTCCATGCCAAATTTGGCTTTATAACAAAGGAGAAAAAAGGTAAAAATGAATTGGAAAAAAGGGGGAAAAAAAAGAACAGAAAAAGATAAACAAGGAGAGGGGAAGCTCAAAGGAAGGTTAAGACAGTGGAATCCCAAGATGCTCAGGATGGATGAACCCCTGTTAAGGTTGCTAACAAAGAGGATAGAAACCCTTCCCCAAGCCTCATAGTCCTTTGGCTCTTTTTAAACACTAGCTGAAAATCTCAGTTTATCTATTCAGACTCTATTGTCATTTAATAGTTTGCATTCATGTCAGTGAACCCCTTAGGCATGAGATACTTTGTTAGAAGGATAGTACCTTCTGAATTTGTACAGTGACCTATTTTAAAGCTTTAAGTACTATTCATTTCTAAGGTCAGTTGTGTGACCAGGTGTAATATCTCTAAGCTTCGGTAGCTCTTCACTTTCTCCAAGCAACATAAGGACACCATCCCTTTTCCTTTACTCAGGGAATCAGACCAAAAAAGAAGAAAGGGGAGAGCTGGAAAGAAAAAGGACCAAAAGCCTGAGGTCAGTGTAGAAGCATGTAGGTGAACTGTGGAACACGTAGAAGTCCAAGTTCAAATTAATTTGTTTCAGTGAATAGAGAAAATTCGTAAGGAAACTTTGATTGTTGGCAAAAAACAAGAGACCAATCTACAAAGAAGAAAGTGAGAAACACTGAAGGTTAGAGAGTGTAGTGCTGATATTCTCCCTGCTGGGAATTTGGAATTTCTCACCTATCATGTGTAGAAAATGATAGTAATTACAAACCTCATGACCCAGAAATTTTGTGACAGTGACTCAGTACTAATCACTCTTCTCTTGGGCTTGCTCTTTGGATGCGTTTTTAAACACTAATGTTCCTTTTTGGTATGACTTTTTTGTATGTATCCTTTAGCTTGAATAACATCAGCTCATCAGATGCAAAGCGATCGGGTGTCAAGAGCTCTGGGTCAGAAGGAAGTGCCCCCATCAATAATTCTGTCATCCCTATTGACTATAAGAGTTTTAAAGCCACTTGGACAGAAGTTGTGCACATCAATCGGGAGAAATGGAGAGCCAAGGTGCCCAAAGGTAATGTGCTTTGGGGAGCAGTCTTCTAGGACACCTGTCCAAACCACCGTAGCAGCCACTCAAAGAGTACGCGTTTGCTTTCCCTGATTTATAGTGGTTATAAATAAAGCACAGTTGTTCAGGCTACTGACATTCGCCAAATATTGTAATCTCTCAACTTTGGACCTTTATTATGTCTGACACTGAATGCATGGGAAAAAGAGGCAGATCTGCAACCCTCGTGGCATCATAGACTTTGTGTAATGTGACTAAACTCATTTTTCCATTATAAAGATTATACAGCTCATAATTATTACTATTTTGGGGTTTCTGGACCATCCGGTCATTCTAATTTCATGTCATGTCATACAACTGTGAGAATTTTATTTCTTCTTTTACCTTAGTAAAGCCCACTAAAAGCCATCTTAGATATTATGCTGGGATACACAAACTTTAATTTTCCTATCTACATTTTTATCTTTGTCATTACAGTTTCCCTTCATTCATTGCTTTGAATATAGAACAACTATTCTGATATGTAACTTACAAGTAAACAGGAATTCCCTGAAGCAAATGATACCAAATTTAAACCAGAAAAGTTGTGGCTCCTGGTTTCATGCACAGAAAAATATAAAATTCCTGGTATCTTTTTGAATCTTAAACTAATTTTTTAACACCTATTACTGAGCACCTATTTATGATCAGCCTGTGCTTTGTGATAAGTATTTTTTTAGAGAGGCTGCTGTATGTACAATGTAACAACACAATCTTGAAATGAGGGTTTTATAGCTTTAAAGCCTGATTCCAAGGAAAGACACAAAAGTGGATATTGTTGCAGGTCAGAAAAGGAACTGATCCCATACGCTTTGCAGTCAGCTTTTGATAATATGGATTATTTGCCTACTGTTTGCTAGGCTCTGTAGCTAGTGCACAGGTACATAGTTAAGTAGCGGACATCTACATCCTCAAAGCTCACACAGTACTATTGCAGAGGAGGAGGAAACACTTCATTACAGTTTCCTACAAAGGAAAAATAGGAGTTTGGTAAAGGCTTTGTACTTGTGAGCAGCCCCCCCCCAACCCTGAGCCTGTAGCCTTCAGAGCTGTCAAGTGGGACTTCATCTCCAAACTCAGCTCCTGCACTTGTGTTCTCCCAGAGTAACAAACATGTAAAAAGAAGGACAGAGGTGGAACAAGGTGACACACCCCTGTAATCTCAGATGATGTGAGTTTGATGCCAGCCTGGACTACGCAGGGAGGTCTTGTGTCAAAACAAAGAGTGGAATGGTGAATGTCTCAATCCATTTTACATTGATAGGACAAAATACTTGATGCTGATTATTATAAAGAGTGGGTAATTATAAAGCATAAAAGTGGATTTTACACAGATTTTCTGGAGGCTTGGAAGTCTAAGAACACATTGCTAGCATCTGTGAGGGTTTTCTTACTGAATGGTGGAAAACATCACAGAAGAGGTAAGCAAGTGTGTTGGCTTCCTAGACAGCCACTAGTGCCGTCAGGGGAAGTTCCACCCTCCACTCATCATATGCATTTGGGTTTAAATTTCTAAACATGAAATGAAGGGGACACATTCCAGTCATAGCAGTGGAAGTGTTCTGACAGTCTTGTTCATCAGGGTTGGCGGGTTTACTTCTACTGTAAGAGGGAGGCAGCTTCACAGTTGAAGATATTAAAAGGAAAACGCCATGATTTACCCACAGAATCCTGTCCAACTGCTGCACATTTTAGCTGAAGCAAAGGTGTACGTTCATGGTGGGTTTTTGTTTTAGGACATAATTGGACCTTTATCATTTTGGTACAGATGTTGCACCCTGAGCTATGAAGACGCAGACACCTCTTCCATATTTTAAGTGTACCCTTTCATAGCCATTCAGATTGTTTAAGCTTTTAAATCCTCCCTGTTGGCAGGCATTGCAAGCAGTGGTGGCAGCTACTATATCATTTCAAAAGAAGCACTCTCTTATAATCAATTACATTCATTACACTTGAAAATCCAATTCCTGACAACACGAAATTTAAAGAGGTACTTCAAGATAATTTGTCTGCAATTATCTGGTGCACTAAAATTATCTCCTGAAACTAATCACCTGGAGAAACATTAGATGACTTGTTTCCTAAGAGAAACTGGTCCTTTGAAAAGGACAGCCAAGGGGCCATAATTTTAAAATGTATTAGGTATGAAGATAGAGATAGTCTTAGGCTATTTTAAAATCATAAAAGGTTGGAGCTTGTAGCCAAGGTGTACAGAATTCCTGGAGTTGGCCCGAAGGAGGTATTAGAAATGGGAACAAGGAAAGAGGAGATGAGCTAAAGTCCAGGTGATGAGATTTTTGTATTTTGTGGAAGAATAGTTTGGTTATCAAGGGGAATTTCAGTTAGTGGTGGAAGGAAGAAATTCTCAATTTGTGAGATGTTCTTTGGCAAACTTATCTAGGTTCATTGTGGCTCTAATTTGGGGATGATATTACAATATTGCTGCAGAGGATAGAAATAATATGAAAAGCACTAAGCACAGAAGCTGCACATGGTCAATGGCTGATAAATAGCAGTCGTAGAGCAAAGTTAAGATTCTGGTTTCTACTCACATGTAGAATAAACCAGACTTGCATGTGCTAACATCTTACTGTCTCCTACTGTAAGAAATTGAAAGAGTAAATAAGATCCAAAAGGTGCAGTAGATACAATGAAAGGGGAAAGAAATCACTCAAATTGTAAGAACACTGGGATCAGGGAAAGGAAAAAGAAAAGGAAGGGGAAAAATAGTGTGTGTGTGTGTGTGTGTGTGTGTACACACACACACACACACATGATAGCTGAGATAATTGTACTACTATTGTTGTATTAATTTATTGAAAGGAACAGTGCTTGTATTGTTTGATCAATTTTTCATGCCTATATCTTGTAGTCTGGGCAACTATTTTGAAGACAATAATATGCAATATAATAACAATTGTTAACTTTCTATTATCTTGTTTGAAAGTTATGTATCTTTTATTATTTTAAAATTTTCTTTAAAATAAAAAAAAAGATTCTGGTGGTAAAAATACGGACTGAAAGCAAACATTTTATAACATATTCTCCTTAGTACTACGGCTGACTGGTTGACCAATGTTAAAGAGAAGTACAGCTTGCATTTATTTTTTTGTGATGGTTAGTTTAATTAGATAATCTCAGGCTGATGTTCTTGTTGTTTTGTTTGTTTTTTTTTTCCACCAGAGAACACTGATTTCAGGAACACCTGCCCGCCACAAGGCATCTAAACGTAATTGTTATTAGAGTGACTGGAGATAGAATTGTGTTTAAAGTCTTTGTTTTATTGGCCAATCTCTTTTACAAAGCTACATAAAATAGAATCTGCAGTTAAGAAAGGTGAAATCAATATTTAATAGCTTTTAGAACATAAATATTCCGAGCAAAAAGTGTATAACAATTTGTAAATGTGATCTTTATTTGTCCATTTCTTTTAGTACTTATTTCTTTTTAATATTTATTTTCTGGCATAAAAATAGTATATATTTATATTATAAATGCTGAAATATGAAATGCATTTATACAAAGAACAAAAATCACTCATAACCTCTTCAGCCATATAGAATTATTGTGAAAATTCTAAACTCATTCTTTTTAATTTTCTCAACTATGCATATAAATAAAAGTTTTCTGTTTGGGGGAAGTTTGGATCATAATGCAATATTGTCTTATTTTCTACTTGTTTTTTCTAATATGAGTGTTTTCTCTCCTGATGCTGAGTATTCTATTACAAATGTGCATTGTTCAACTAATACCATAGTCATTATTGGTCATTAGATTTCCAATCAATTATCACATATAACATTGTTGTGAACATATAAGTCCAAAACCCTTTAAGCTTATTTCAGATTATTTATCTGGAATAAATTCCTAGATGTGGAATTCCTCTGTCAAAAATAGATGAAAATGTCTACAGCTCTTAATAGATATTGCCAAATTTTTCTCTGAGTATTTTTTAAAAACCAATTTTCTCTCCCACCTGCAACTATACTGCCAGTGCCTATTTCTCCTTACGATTTCCCCTTTATATTTTCCCACTGTGAGGCTGACATTCTTATTGTTGATTCATAACAGTTTTTATATATTGAGGATAATTCTTCAGTTTTCAAAATGTCTGACAGTTTATACCCTACCTTTGTTTGTCATAGACCTTTAACTTTGCCTACAGTCTCATTTAATACCTCTTATTTTTGACAGAAATTAACTTGAAAGTTATAAATTTCAATATGGCATAGTATATAGTGATACTATTTTGCTGAGAAATTCATGTTTATTCACTTCCCCCATCAACAGTTTTTATTAAATAATATGCAACTTTTTATCCAGGTGATTGTAAGTATAATGTTATCATATGATTAATTTATCCTTAAATATTCTATGTTAATATTTATATCAAGTTTAATCTCTGAAAACAATTATTTTTATTTAACAATAAGCTTTGCTAGTTTCATTAAACACCATTAACATTTTTCTCGTGTTTGAATTTTAATATTGATTGAAATTTTCTGCTAGCTAGTGTACTCTTAGACCAGAATTTTCCCACAAGTAACTTAAAAGGCATATTCTGAGCTCTTAAATGTGCATGAAAGTGTCTTCCTACTGTTTTCATAATGAATAAAACTAAGAGATCACAGAAGTTTTTTGTTTCTTTTCTTCCATCAATCTTTCATCTTTTTGTGTCTTTTTCTTCTTTGTAGATAGTTTAAGTAGGCATTTCAAAAAATTGTATCAAGGGATAACAGTCCAATAGAATTTTAAACTAAATAGCTTACAGTATCATTATTAAGAAGGCAAACTAAATGAAGAAATCAAGAATATTTTCTTGAAGTTGCACAGGCATTCAGTGGAACCCAGCTGTCCAGAGGTATTAAATTTACAGATTGGGAGGGCTCTGTTCACCCTAACTCTTTCACTGTTTACTACTGACCATTTCCATATTGATTCATATCAGTAGTGATCATTTAATCTGAGCAGGAAAAGGGAACACATATGCATTCTACAAATCTAAGTTGCCAAAAGGGAGTGCAAGGATGCTAACTCTTAAAGCTGCAATAAAAATTTCCAGCCATTATTGGGACTTGGTGGGGTGCCCACGCTAGAAGTGCTTCCATATAGTTTTTCTCAATGTAGGAAAACTTTACTTATATTAATAATTTTATCTCAAAAATATAAGGAAATATGGAGTGGAAAAACACCCTACCTCCTATCGATGTATTTTCTTTTACCTCATCTGCATGGGTGCTTGTTTTGTTCTTCTCACTTTGAGTAATATTTCTTGGAGTACTATATGTATGATTGCCCTTCTTGCAGTTATATCAGGCTTGAATCAGTGGTAGAAGTCAAGTAGAGAAGCTGAAGAGCACAGCAGAGCCAGCTCCCGGAAGGTGACTGTTGCAGGGAGAGGAATCTCACATCTCACGGTGGGGCAGGCTCACGTCTGATCTGATCGTGATGTCATCAGAGCTACCATTTGGTAGTTCTAATTTAAATGTTAATTGCCTCCTGTCAGGTGCACTTAAGCAAAACCAGATTTATTTCCAAATGTACATTTTTATAGTTTTTTTAATTCATTTATTTTGTTAGATTTCCCATGGAAAATCGGTCTGACTCCATTGTCAAATGCATTTTTCTTGCTCAGATGCTATTTTATGGTCTTTTGTAACAAACAAGAATTTAACACCTTCAGTTTTTCTCAAAATTATTTTCCACTTGGGAATATTTTGAATACTGAATGTTTGTCATTATTCACTAGAGATCCTGTGACATGGACTGCAAAATATTTTATTGATACTGAGTATGGATGAATTATCTTCCTCCTTGCCTCAGTTTCCCTGTGTACTAAACATAATCATCATTTTACTCATTTACAACAGTAGTGAAGGAGGTGAACATTTGTCAGAGAGGCTCTTTCAGAATAGAATCTGAAAGTTGGTATATTTCCTGTATTTTAGTATGCCAGTCAATATTGCTTAAAGTGGAATATGTAAAATACAGTTGAATTTTCCTGGTTAGTGTAAATCACATCATTAGACTACATCTCACTGACAGAAAATACTTTATGAATGTATGTCAGATATCAGGTGCTGGGGTATATTTGTCCTTGGAACACGGCGAAGAAGGATGAGAAGAAATTTGGATAAATATCACAGTGGTCTTCTATGGCCAATGTGCTCCAGTGAGAATTTGTCTCTTTTCTTCTGCAAGAGAATTCTTTCACTTTTCAGTTGTAATTTTCTGCAGAAATCAAAAGATACTTATGCTGTATGATACCTAATTGTATTATTTATAAATAAATCTGATGAATCAGTAAGATAAATAAAAATGTCATATTAAGAAGGAAATTTGAGATAATCTAATATATCAGTAGAAGTAAAATAGAGTGAAATATCATGGAAATTCACAACATACATGTCATAAAGCCTCATAAACTCAAGAACCTGAGCCAGATTAGGGCTTTGCATGCTAAAACAGCTGAAGCAAAAGGAAACATGATCAGATGCATAACCACTCTGATGTTCATGCAAACATACTGTCTGGGAAAGGCAGCTTTTTTGAAGAACAAAGCTATCACAGGGAAATAAAATGAATTTGGATAATGAAGTGGAGGCAGTTTTTAAGCCTGTTGAGAAAAATGAAGTCTTGCCATCACAGTAAAGGCTGATGGCACAGTCTGGGAGGTCTTTTGAGTGAACTGAATGCTACGTGCAGTGAGTCTCTAGGCCATACAGTTTATGAGTCTCTGCTTAGGGCCTTTTGTGTATGTTTTTCTACTCTACCCAGCTCCATCAGATGTTACTGCAGCATGATCTGAGACTTATCTTACTTTATCTTACTTTACCATTTGAGCACAGAATCATATTACTAACTCCTTCCTTGCCAAATCTGCATCAGCCATAGTGGCAACTTAATGTCATTTGAACATACCAAGTGCATTTGTGCTTCACAGTCTTCACATTTCCTTGTTCTTCTGCCTGAAAGGTTATTTCTCCACAATAGTGCAGTCAGCTTTTCATCATTCTGGACTTAGTCAACTGTCACCATCTCAAGAAAGCCCCCTCCTTTTGCCACCTTTCTCCCCAATTCTGATCATATTCCATCTTATTAGTCTGTTTTAATCTTTGTCAAAGCAGTTCTCACCATTTAAAGCTATCTTAGTCATTTCCTTACTCAGTTAGGGCCTTCTACATGACTGTCTTGTCTGCTGTTATTTTTCTACAGTGCATCACATTATAATTACTCAAAAAATTTACAAAGAATGAATCAACTAATCTTTCCATACATTTTTGACCTATGAAACTACAATACACTTATACATTAAGCACAGAGCCAAGCCCTTCTCTCATCAGCTGAATTGGAAATAATGCTGATGCCTTCTCATTAAAGGAAAGGACAGGGATCACATAGCTGCCAAATGAGAAGACCAGTGAAGATTCTATTTGTTTGTTGGCTGATAAGGCTTGATTATCCTGGTTCTACTTTCCAATCCCTGGTAGCCCAAGTGTGTATTATCCTAGTGATAATTTTCTTGACTTATTGTTTTGTAACCAAGTCTTTATGTTTAAACTCTAGGTCCTAAGCAATCCTACAAAAAGAAATGCCAATTTTTACTGTGGCTGAGAAACTTTTATGTCTCTGAATCTCAACTTCCACATGTATAAAATAGGGTCACCATAATAGTAGCTACAAAGGGTGGCTGTAAAGATTAAAAGAAATAACTCTCAAAAATACTAGCATAGAGGAAAAAATTGAAGTTATTATTACAGTTCCTTCTACAATGCCGGCTCAATCATTATCATATTTTTCTCCTTGCCTCTTACTCTAACTCATTCGTTGCAGAAATGACATTTTTATGAACCAGTTTTGTGACGCATGGTGATCTGACTTGAATTAATGAAAAAATACTCAAAACTCTCAGTGAACGTCTTAGATGATAGTAGTATATTAATTCTTAGTGCAAATCTTTGTTGTTGTCATTGTTGTTCTCCCCAAAGAGGCAGTTCTCATAAATGGTGTGGCCTCTCTTTCTCTTTTCTCTGCCTCCCTAACTTGCTATGGATGCAGAAGAGAAGGCCAAGAAAGAAGCAGAGGAAAAGGCTCGCCTGGCGGCAGAAGAAAAGCAGAAGGAGATGGAAGCCAAAAGCCAGGCTGAAGAAACTAGCAAAGCTGAGAAAAAGACGTCTGGAGAAAGTAAGAATCAAGTCAGTGGAACCCGCACAAACAAAAGTGACAACTCTCGTGGGAAGAACCCCAAAGTTGAGAAATCACCAGGAGAAAAGCAACAGAATGGTGAGTAGCATTTTGCTGGCTGGTTCAAAACTTTTGGGGTGTTAATGATGTGATGAGTGGAAACTGGCAAACACCTTCCACATGCCAGCCACCCGCAGGACCAGATGTCCCAGAGCATCCAGTTCTTGCTGTTCCTGTTACTGGCAGGGATGCCATAATATCCCATCAGAAACAGCTGCCGGTCACTCGAGCTTTTCCTTTGGGGGTAGGGGAGTTCACACCTACTTTTTCCTAGCTGCCCTGGATATTCCAGCCAGTGACTGCTTGCCCATCAGGTACAAATTACTATTTAAAGCATTAGCACTCTCTGAGAGCTCACTGCCAGAGTGGGTGGATGGAAAGCCAGTTTCCCAAGTGCACCACTATTTTAGCAGGGCAGCCCCAGGTCTGCCTGTAGCCCCTTCTGGCAGTCTGCATCCTTTATCTCTCTGTGCCCAAGTGCACACCTCAGGGTGATCAGCCTGAAACTGGGGCTTTCCTGGGAGTCAAGGGTTTTGCTGTTGAAACTAAAAGTTATAGGCATACTTAAATAAGCTGACCACTGTAATATGCAGAGAGATAATAGATCTTTCAAAATATTTAATGAAAAATATTTATTAACATTGTTCTCTCGAGTACTATGTTAAGCACAAGGGATTTAGAAATAAAAAGGCCTCGGGCAGCCCATGATATCATAGGATTTATTATGAAATGTGGGCACATAACAGTAGTATTGTTACAAATAAAATATCCAAAATTCATGCGTACAGAAAGAGACTGAGCTTTGCCAGTATGAGGGTTTGTAAGATGAGCTAAATTTCAGAGAACGCTTCCAGAGGAGGTAAGATGTGAGCTGGGTCTTAAATGCTCAAGTTTGCTGGCCAGGTGGGAGAAGAGCATCTTAGCCAGAGAGAATAAGGTGAACACAAGAGTATGGAATTGCTTCCCAGTTTTAGAGATGGGAAAGAAGTGGAGAGTCTCCACAGCTTGCAAGTGCCAGGTTGGGGCCGCATAGCAGGGTAGCTTTGCAAATTTAAATCACAGCTGTGCCTCCCCTTAGTGGCTTTGGCCAGGTTAACTGAAGTTCTGCTGTTTTCATAAAACACACAATAGCTACTCACAGTACTGGCTTCTTCTAAGCTTTCAATAATAATCACTGTAACAAAACAACAAAGACAGTAAAAACAAATAGTATTTATTACTACCTGCCAGATACTGTTTTAATCTGTCTTCTCCTACTCAATTCTTTTACTTGCCTGGTAGGGCCAGATGATGACCTCTAGCTCATAGAGGATCTGGTCAATGAGTAATAAGTACAAAGTTCTTAACCCAACATTGTCTGAATAATTTCATGATTAACATGTATGCAATGTACAATCAGAAAGTAATATTTGAATATGTACAATAGAGTTGATAGTTCACATTGCATTCTAAGAACTTTGCATAAATCCCTAAGTTAGCCCTTATGATTACTCTAACAGGGAGAGATGGCAGTTGCCCCAGTTAGTCCAGCCTCACAAAAGCCTGGTTCTGGAATCTTCTCTTAGCTAATTTGCTTGGTATTCAGATGTGTCAAGATCAGAATGTTAAATGAAATAAATCTGACCTACCGTCTTCAACTATCATACACCTTCTTTTATGTGAGAAATCCAAAGTGCAAATAATTTAAAGAGCAAAATAACAGACAGATAATAGGAAAGAATACAGATCTTTGGCAAATAGGAAGAGAATCTAGACATGCAGTGATGGTGAGGAATGGAGGAAGGTGAAAGAAAAAGAATTTAGAGGTATTATGTACATGTACCAACTCCCCACCATGATTGTGACCTTTAACTAGTACAAAAAAAAAAAAAAACTTTAAAAAAGTGTCATAGCCTAGAAAAACTATTCAACTTAATCACAGTTTATGGTCCCCTCTTGACTAGTTAGAGGGTCCCTCAACTGTCCCTCTCTTTCCCCTCTTGAACTATAAACCAACTGAGATGTAGATGATGCCCAAACTGGAAAGCCAGTGGCCAATGTACCAGCTTCACTGTGCACAGAGTAGACTTGGGATGTGGACAGTTTTCCGGAGCATGTAGATTCTTGGCTAAGCTGAGCACAGTCAGGCAGGCGCAAGACTTGAGGAAGCATATCTCAAAGGTGAGTGAGAAATAGGTGGCTGAGTTGAGCTTTGCATGCTCAGCTTCTGCTCCTAGATAATTCAGTCTTTTCAAAGAAGAGGCACAGAAGGAGAAAGGCAGAATGTTTCTCTCTCTCTCATCTCTCTCTCTCTCTCTCTCTCTCTCTCTCTCTCTCTCTCTCTGTCTGTCTCTGTCTCTGTCTCTTTCTCTCTTCCCTAGCATAATGGGCTAAAAATCTCCTTCCTTTAATAAAAGCAATAATTGTGATAACACTACTGTTTATTTCATGCTTAATGATTATTATATTTGACATTTTTACCTCATATTGAAGTCATTTAAAATTCTAACAACTATACCAGCTAGAAACACATATTCCCATCTTGTAGAGAGAAACATGGAAACCTAGAGAGGGTGAATCACTTGCTTAAGGTCGACCAACAATTAAACAAGGATCCCAGGTCAAACTCAGTTTTGAGTCCCTATCTTACAGTCAGTTACCAGCATATCCTTAATATTTGCCATGTTGGTTGCCTTTGTGGGATGGGTACTGGAGAAATAGAAGACTTAACTGTTGCCCAAAAGAAGTTGGTAGTCTGCCTGTCCCACTGGCTGTCACACTCTTTCTATAATGGGCCAGATTATAAAGATTTTAGGCTTTATATACTGGATGATGTGTCATGGCCACTTAAAGCTGCCATTAGGGTAAAAGAAACTAAAGATAATATAGCATGAAGTGAATGAGGCTGTATTCCAGTAAAACTTTACTTAGGGATATTAAAATTCAAATTCACCTAGTGTTCATGTCATAAAATATTCATCTCTTCTCTGCAATTTCGTTAATGTGTAAAGCCATTCTTAGTGTTTGGGTCATACATAACCAGGGAGTGGGATAAGCCGTGGCATCAGTGAGAGAAACCAAAGAGTATAAATAAGTCAGTCGCAAGGAAGGTCATAAATCCTACAGACCCTCAGAAAGGGTGGAAAGGAGAGTCTTTTGGTTGGATGATGGTTATGGGGAGAGCCATGTAGACCAAACAGGAATCCAAGTCTACAAGTAGACTGACTTGATTTCAAAGCTGTTTATTTCCCCCAAGAAAGCAATGGTCTACCCTTTCCCTTAAAAATTAAGTATTTAATGAGAGGTGGGAAAAGAAATCAATTTAGAGCAATAATAAGGGAGGCTAATGGTGGTTAAGGACTTTGCTACAGCAGCCTAATTAAAATGATTTATAACTTCCCAGAAAGGCTCTTTGGTTTTCCCCTATTTATTGAGTAGCAACTCATATCAGCTATTACTCCAAGTACATGGGAAATTACCTAATGCGTTCTGTTCAGGAAGCGTCATCAAACAAACATGTGTCACTTTCCCAGAACCCTTCTTCATGGTCTGCCAAAGACATGTTAGGCCTGAAGGGCATTGGTACAGAGTTCTAGAGGTTTGGTCCACTCTTAGCAATTGCAGGATCCTCTAAACTTTTGTCTTCCAGTAAGGAAGAACTTGCTCCATCAGCCTCTCCAGTCCTGGCTAAGAAGACAGGCTGCAGGGTCTCCTGGCCAGCATCCAGCACATCTAACTATTGAAATGATGATTTCTCAAAGAGATTGTTGTGCTGTGCATAACTTGTAGGGAAAGCTCCAGGCCAGAATTACCCAGAAGGCAGAAAATAGCATTAGGTATGTGAACCTTCCTGTAGGGAAGAATCACTTCCCTTCCTGTAGGGAAGGATCATTTTCCTGCAGGAAATTAATTTGACGACAAGACTTGAGATCCTTGAGTTCTTATATAGCTTCTCTATACAGGAAAAAGCCAATATTTGGACAGTTTCATGTAACTTCCAGAGAACCCTTTTCTTTTGGCAACTAGTAGTGGGAAAGGGAGATGATCATGTCTTGCACTGAAGTCCAACTTGTTTTGATCCTGGCCAAGGTAGATACCCCTTCTCTATGCTTCCAGCTAGTTCATCCTATTTTACGATTAAGAAAGAAAGGAAACCTAGGCAATTTATTGACTTTTAATTTAACTTAAAATTTGTATATGGTTTGTGGAATGTGTCACAATCAACCATGGTCTTGAATTAGCCTTAGATAAACTTTTTTATAGATCTATAGATGAAAGTAATTAGAAGTGGAAACGGTAAATGGAAACCTAAACTCTAAAACTTGACCTTCATTGGGAAAATATAAATGGAGAGCTTGGATTCTAGAATCAGACCCATTTGCTTGGTCTGTGGTTTTACTTTGTCTGTCCCTTGAATTTATAGTCCATAAGATGAGGAGGATAATTATTTTAGAGCAGTTCCCTACAAATAAGCAAAATGTGTAAGATTAATTTGTCATTTGTTCCAAAATGATGTTAATCTGTATTTATGATATTTAACTTGATAATTTTCTATAAGTTAAATGCTTAAGTCTGATGATGGTAAAAAAAACAGCAAAAAACTTTTTTAAAGGACAAGGGTAGAGGGGATTGGGCTGGAGATATAGCTCAGCAGTACAATTCCTGCCTGGCAAGCATGAGATTGTAAGTTTGATTCTCAGTACCAAAAACAACAACAAAAACCCACACACGAAACAAATAAAAAAAAAGAATTGAGATGTGAGATGTGTTTTATACTTGTATCAATTCCCCATAATAAGTATGATTATTATGTACTGCAAATATGTATTAATAACAATAAAAATGTTTAAATGACTTAATTTTCAACAAAAACAATTGAAAACAAACAAAACTCTGAAATTTATAGTTCTAAGTAATTCACCACTTTCTAGTTTTGGAAAGCACACACAAATTACTTTTGTTATCTGACAAGTATGGTGATTAGTGTTACATTTACATTTAGTTTTTGTGAAGATACGTGGTATGATTTATATAAAGTGGGTAAAACTATATACGGCAAAAGCTTAACAAATGATAATTGTAGCTGTCTTTGATCCCATTCTCAACTGCTCAATCCACAGACATTTTGGGGTTACATCAGTTTTATTGCCAATGAGAAGTTTGTTTCATTGCAACTACGTATTCACTAAAATACTTTTTTTTTTTTTTTTTTTGAAAGAATTGCTGTATCAAACAAGTGACTTAAACCAAATCTACAGTAGTTAAGGAACAGTTTTGCCACCAGGGGGAGATAGATATGCGAGGTTGAATTCAGAAGTAAAGCCCAGGTAGCATTTCAAACCTACACTGATAGAGTTGACCTAGATAGACTAACCTAGTGTTTGCCCCTATATGCCTGCAAGCAGGAAAAACTCAAATGTCAAAAAATTCTCAATATTTTGACCAATTGATTATGCAGTAACTTGATCATTTAGTGAATGAATCTTTTATGAGTTTTTCTATTTTCCATAATACTGCCTTTATAAAGAGATTGTTAATAAGAATGTAATAAAGTGGTGCAGACACAGTATTTAACACATTGAGTTGCACAAAGTTTAAAAAAAGATAAACTTTTCTCATATATCTTTGAGGCTTTGCTCACTCCAATTATTAAGATCTTTTTGCTTTAGTAAATACAGAACATTGCAGTAGCAATGTATTATTGGCTTTGTGCAGGCCAGAAAGAAAAGTACCATTAGCAACATTGGTAAGGAAAATGTCCAGAACACCAAAATTAGGCTGGAGGAAGCCACACATGTCCTTTTAATGTTACAGTGGCCTAATACTAGTGGACTTGCTCAAAGACTATTAGATTATCCTAACCTATACAAGACTAGGAATTTTTCTTCTCCCCCACCCCCGGCCTTCTTTTCTTTTCCTTTCTTTTTTTTTTAAAGGACCAGATAGAAAATGTTTATGGCTTGCATGTCTATAAAGCAGTTACCAACTTTGTTATTGTGGCATGAAAGCAGCCATGACTATGTGTGAATAGGGGTACACCTGCCTGCTGCTAGAACATTTTTAGCTCTTCTAAATGACCCATGAGTCATAATTTGCTGATTCTCTTTTTTGGAGAATATGACTGTGTTTAACTTTGCTGTTTATTCTTTAACCCATGTAATTATGAAATTACTCTATTTTAGAGGTTTTTCATAAGGGAAGATAATCCCAAAGGATATAGTTTTATTGCCTGTGGGATATAAAATTTTGTCTCTAACTTAGTCTTATTTTAATATATTTCTTTTTTATTTTAAAGAGATTAAGACAAAAGAGGACAGAACAAAACAGATCAGAACAATGTAAGCAACACAGTACTTTACCACAAGACAACCCGATATTAACAGTAGCTACCATAGTGTCTCTTTCTTTGAAATAGTTGAGCATACCTTCACATACAATAGTATCAAACATAACAAAATAGTATAAAATCATTCAAGAGAATGAAAGTATTACAGGGCATTCAGAACCAAATATCAGAAAATGAACAATGGCTACTATATTATCTCATTTTGTTTATACTCTGTATTTCTAAAATGTCTGTAAATACCTATTCCTTAGTAAGAAGGGTACCATTTAACTCTGATGTAGAATAAAAACAACTGTCACTGCCAGAAAATGCATTAGTATTGAAATACATTTATCATGATGCCTATAAGGTAGACACTATTATCTCCATTTTGCAGATAAGAAGATTGAAGCAAGAGATATTAAATAGCTATTCATTAGTATAGCTTATATTTAACTTAGATTTTTTATCATTCTACAGCCTAACAGTGGGACTTAAACACCTTTCCTGGAAGATAAAAACACTATTGACTTAAGTAGAAACCTGTCTGACAGCAACCTTCAGCCTTAATTTTTTATTTTCAAATTTCCAGAATTTAACGTGGTTACAAAGGATATATACACTCAGACATGTACTCCATCAAACTACAAACTATGCTGCTTTTTTTTTAACCTTGACAGGTTGAAAGATATTTATAACATCCCCCTCAGCTGTACACATATACTGTTTGTCATATTTATTACTTCCAGGTGATTTGAAAGATGGTAAAAATAAGACAGGCAAGAAAGATCACTCCAATGTTGGAAATGATGCAAAGAAAACAGATGGTAAGAATATCATTCCCATTACATTTTTCCATAAAATGTATAATTATTGTAAGCTTGTTAGAAACATACCTAAAAATTGAAATAGTGGTTGTTAATATATTCTTATTCCCGGAAAAATATACTTCACTACATTTACGCAGTACTGTTATTTCCTTTTCAATAATGTACAAATTATCGCTATATCTTTTCCTCTCCACCATCCTGCCTCCATTACATATTCTTTTTGGGGGGGGGGGGTTGGAGGTGGTTTGAGACAAGGTCTCAGTATGAATTTCTCCATTACAAATGACATCCATGCTCTTGCTTTTCTTGTTTCTTTTTTTTTTTGTATGTGTGTGTCCTAAACTATATAAAGTTTATTCTAGACTTGCTGATTATAAAGCAATGGAATAACACATACTACTGGTGTGTTTTATAAGTTTTTGATCATCAATCTGTTTTCAATTTTTTTTTTACCTTACAAAACCAGGAATCTATTCAGTGTTAGATGAGAAATACTATATATAGTTGTAGAATATGACTTGGCCAGCAGGAACATGTCCTAATGGCAATGCAAACCAAAGTTAAAGCGAATCCACATCATGAAGTGTTTCAGGAGCATTACATTTACTTTTCTGAACAATATTCCATTCCTTCTAAAATTGAAAAGTTGATAGAGTGTCTTCTATGCTTTGAACTATCAGGTTGAGAAATATTCCCTCTCCTTTTACATAAACTTCATTGTTTCTATTGTAATGTAAGCTCATTCTTGACTAGTCCTTCGTGTGTTGAAATATTTTGTAAAGAATGAAAGTTTGTGGGGAGTGGTTTTGTTAGGAGTCCCACTCTCTCTCTGAACCATTTGTCCCGGAGCCACTCTATGTGATGCTAATGTATTCTTTGAGTAGTTTGCATAGAATACTTACGAAAAACATATGCTAGTGCTAAATCTTCAGTTGGAGGCAAAGGAAGAAATCTGAACACAACTTCTCATAAATCTTCAGAAGGAAACAGCCCATTCAGCTTTTAACTGTAAGACATATTATGCTGTCTTTACTTATAGGCATAAAATCTGTTTTCAAATTTTTCCTTCTAAGGTCACTCAAAGAATTCATTTCATTTGTGGGGAACTCACACCTACAATATTTCACCAACTTGTTTATACAAATGGAAACCACTTACCTAATAAGCTTACTCTCCTTGAATAATTGTAAGAAATGAATTACAGACATATAAGACAGAATTCAAAATGACAACGTCTCATCTAGACTCTCTTATAGGAAAGGCTTTTCAAATGCCAGGGGCTCCATGCCAGGCATCATTTAACTCTAGTCGAGACAGAAAATGTGCAGCAGAAGAATGGTGTCAGCTATAAACCCAGTGACTGGACATCTGCCCCATTCTGCATCCAGCTCTTTGCTTTCTGATTTGAATTTCTACAGCATAAAAGCCCAGGATAAATTAAGCCTCAAATTTTTAAAAAATAACCTTGAATCTTATGGAAATTTTTTTATTATGCTGTAGATAGCTACTATAATTCCATGATATAATTATTGTGAATTAAATTCTTACCTTCATCAGTCCCTGTATTTTATTTGTGCCCCTTTTAACTGAATTGTTCCCAAGTATTTAAAAGATTGAAATAATTTATGGAAAGATATGAAATAATTTCTGTGTACTATTGCACAAATAGTGGTAAAGTTTAATTGTCTAATGAGAAGAATTCTTGTTCCTATGAAGCCTTGAACAGGTCTCAATATATAGACAACTATAACATCTAACTCATTTTCCTTCACTGCTTCAAGAAAAATTTTGAACTTGAAAGTTTATACAAAAACATAGGCATAACAGCTTTGTATTGGACTTCACTGGTAAACTAAGATAACCTTAGTGATCATTCCTACTGTGTGGTGTTAAGCTATGGGCTTCAGTGACATGTATTTTAGACCTTTGCCAGAACTAAAGCTAATTCATGGTGTGATGAAGTGGAAAAGATTTTGATGAGCCTCATCTACTATTTCTCTTCAATTATTAAAACCTTATGCATTAGAAAATTTTACCAAGGAAATACATACATTGGTAAATATATTTATTTTTGTACACTAAGTAAAAATAATGTTTTTAGCATTTCTTTTACTGTATCTTGTTATGTTTGATGATGAGGGAAAGGATTGATTTAATTTTCAATAATCTTATTCCTAATCCTTGAAAATCACTGGTGAATGACTCTCTAGAATTTGTGAGGAGGGATATCCGTGTGTAATTTATGCCCACTGTGATCTAACCCACCAAGGCTTATCATATTTAGCATTGTAAACATTCAGAGAGAAACCACTTGGTGATTTCCAACTCTCATGACCATGGGCACACACAGAAGGAAAGAATGTGTGCTGAAATGGTAAATTACATATTAGCATAATAAGCATAGTGCAGGTACACATTATCTCTATTAAGCTACTAGAGGTATTTTTTAGTACTCTGCAGCAATAATTTTCTAACCGACTGCAAAGAATGGATGTCCTCTGAAAGTACTTTGCTTACCTCTTAGGAGAAATGTACAGATGTAAAAAGGTGTAAGTCTCTAAACAGATTTCTCTTAGTGCTTAAAGTTTTCCATGGTCATTAGGACACTTGCAGGGTGAATTCTTTTCATTGCATTCCTATCCATGTTTATAATAGCATTGCCTCTTAGATCTATCTCAATTTATTATCATTGCTCAAAAAAATACAAACATGACCTTCATTTTATTTGATGCCATTAATAAAGACATGGTAAGAGCCACCTTTTGTGTCTCTCGAAAGATTAATTATAACTAGACCCTCATGATTAATGAGCCACATCCCAGGGAAGAAGTTCAGTTGGAGCCTCTCCTTCAATGAACATTAATTTTGGGAATCAGAGTGGAATGTTTGTGGGTGTTGGCTCATGAAATTTAATTGTAAACTGTGAATAGGGGAAAGTGTGAATGAAAGATAATCTATGAATGTTTGCTTTTGCCCAAGAAGTAACATGAATTGGGTTGATTGTGTCAAGCTGGACTGTCTTGATAGCTGTTGCTACCATTAGGCTGATTCTGCCAAGAAAAGTCACTATGGATCATTTTATGTTCCCTGTATACTGACAGTGCAAGGGGCCCTCCTGTGTTGTACCCCTTTGTCTAATCTTCTTTTTTGGTCACATATTCAGTCATCACATTTGAAGATATCTTTGGAGTAGATTATTATTCATGTTAACTTTTATCATCCTTCATTGCTTTTCTAGGCTATAATTTTGATGAAACTTTACAGTCTTTAAGACAAATATTCTCAAATGTTTTCATTCTCGTTATTATTTATCCAATTTAGCCTATCATTCTTAATAAGCTCTACACAAGCATAATGATGTCCTCAAATTACATGACGTGAAAAATCGGCCAAGGATAGTGAGAATTTTGAGAACATCATGTACAAGACAGTATCACCATAGCAATAACCTTGAATCTTTCTAACATCTGTAAAAATTAAACCTTCATAACTTCAGTGCTTAAGTGTTTTTAATAATGAATGATTTTCACTACACTTCACCTAAATGTGTTGCAAATTTTGGTCATACCCCTAAAACCAACATCTGCTGACCTGAGGCAGTCTTTAAAAATAGTTAATCCCACTGAGTTTTGAGCTTCTTCTCATTTCTAAGGGTAAAGATAAGGTTTTTTTGTTTTTGTTTTTCTTTAGTTCTGTGTTCATCTATGTATCAACATAAGGTGGGCATCTCTCCTTAGTTAGGGAATTGTCCTTCATGGAAAATCCAGCCACCTGGTGGGTTATTTTCCATGAGTGTCAAGGGATCAGACATCTGCAATGCTTTGGTTCCCATTTAAGATGAGTCATCCCAAAAACACATGTTCTGGTTAATAGCCCATTTCCTTTAGCCATGTGTCCATGGAAGCTCTGTGAACCATTTATTTAACATCCTGACAGTAGGTAAAAGCTATGTTTTAGCATGAAGAGGAATGAAATATTTTTAAAGGAATTTTTAAACTCTATTTTTTCAAGTAGTTTGACAAATCTCTAAAACTCTACTCTTATGTCTCTCTCACAAGAAAACAACAAAGCATTGTAAATGAAAGGGAGAATTGTTATTTTTAGGTGCCTGTTATCTGAGACCATCTGGATAAGACCTCACTAATTAGATTGTAAAATGTTTTGTTTCTTAAACACTTCTATTTACATATTTCACTGTCATTTTCTGGTTAATTTTGGAATGTGTACTGTAAATTGACCCAATAGTAAGAGTTATTTTGAGCTCAATGATGTTGAAACCCAATATAATTGTTTTTTTTGGTTTTTTTTTTTTTTTTTTTTTTTTGGTGGATTTGGGGGAAATCTATTAACTACGCCATTACTGAAGTGACAAGTGGTCAGATAGGATAAACCTAAAAAATCTACTATTTCCTTTTTGCTGTGAACTTTATATTCTGGGAGCAAAGCGTTAACACTTACTCATGATTCTAGCACTGATGAGTCATGGTGAATTAGAACAGTGAGCACTTTTGTTACAAGCATCCATCTCAAATTGATGCATTTTAAAATATAATGTTAGGTCCAGTGAACATCCTTTGTGCTCTTCAAGGAGGTATAAAATAGATATCCACATGACTATAAAGAAGAAAGATAGCATGCAACTACTAGAACTGAGGAAAACTCCTGACATTAATTCATGCTTTCTACATGGCTATAGCTATTTAGATCCTAGTCTTTTACCAAATAACTATATAGTTGAAGTATTGAATAAAAGTATATTGCACTTCTTGTTAATGATAAAATTAATCTTTTAAAACAACTTTCCTTTGCAATTATTAGTACATAAACATTCATTGTTTCACTCTATCTTCTAGACATTTTGTTAGGCTAATAATGTACCATTGTATTTTAAAGAGACCTGATTTTACAGAGAGGATTAAAATTTTGGAACTGCTAGGGAAAAATTGATTTTTCTTTTTTCCTTAATAGTGATTCTTAGTAATCCTAAAATAAATATTGGCTTGTTTTCCTCCTACAAAATTATATTTTGTCTGAGTCTATACAAATAATTGTGTAAATAATTGGAGTCACAAAAGTAACAACACATTTGCAAAGGAAGCTCTATTATTAATAAAAATTATAGAAAATAGCAGTTACCTCTGATATAACTATGTACCAATGCCGGTACCTAGGCCTGTCTATAATGTTAATCCCATTTCTTGTCTAGACACCCACATGGTCAAAGAGCTATATCACAATGCAGTTTCAATAAGTATTTCAGCTTTCCCCTCCTGATTTATTCTTAGCATTTCCCACGGAAGGGTACCCTGATCTTCAAGTGACGACATCTGTGTTCTAAGTATTACCAGCTCAGTGTATGCTATTTTTATTCTTTACCCTGGAGTTGTAGTGAAAACATGAAAGTTGGGATTTTTTTTTTAATTTTTTCTTTCATTCATTCTGAAGCATTTGGTGCTTTTCCTGAACTAACAAAATTGAGAAAAACAAAAGCATTTTGGCTGTTTCAGATCAAAACCCCAACCCTCACCTTCTTGCTCTGCAGAACTTTCTTAGTTTTTATGGTCCTAGCTTCTTAGTGGCTTCCCAGATTCAAACTCTTCCTTGTGGAGGGCGTGCTGAACTCTGCCTTCACCTGTACGTACCTCTGTGAGCAAGAGCTGGTGGCTGGTCACCAAAGCAGCAGCAGGACCTGATGGTGCCTGCCTTTCACTTACTACCAAGGGTTGGGTGGGTCCTTCAGCACTGGGAGAATTGAGTATTTTAATGGTTCCTTAGGTGTTAATGTCCAAAATTGATAAAACACAAAGTAATAGCAGAAGATGTCCTGGGGTATGCAGACAGAAGAACAGTCAAGTATATTAAATTTGCAAAGAAAGAATATGCTAATTAAGGAAGAGAAAAATCAGCAAAAGTTGATGAGAAAAGGTTGTCACCATTATTATTCTGAGTGGTATCATAGATGCTACAAATCTAAAGGAAAGGCAAAGAAAGAGGGCTAGAAACAGACTTACGAACTACATTCCTTTGTACTGCTCTTATTTCTGTGTATCGGATTAAATGGTGTATGTTAGCAGATGATGGCATAGACAAGGGTTTAGGAAGTTATATTGTCACAAATCTCCCCCCATTCTCTCTCCCTGCCTCCCCTCCCCTTCTCTCTCTATATATACGTGTATGTGTATGCATCTAGAATAATAAATGATCAAAGTGTCCTAACAGTGCTGTAGCCCTGGTATTATATATTCTAAATTAATTTAGGATAATCCTCCTATAATCACATCGTCTATTATTTGGGGAAGGAAAAACCATGTACACATTGAAAGTAGCCATTTAAGAGTCAAGAGCTTAGGGAATGTGAAATCTATACCTGGATGAAGCCTAATAACAATCTCTAAATATTATTTTTCTTAGTGTTTGCATATTATTAAAAAAACAAAATCAAAACCTATTCATATGCCCAATAAAAAATTTTTGGCATTTAAATTTGGGCTTGGTTTTTCAGAAGATTTATTCTTCATTTGTTTTTCTGTTTAACATTTTACAGCTTAGTCGCTCACCATGTCATTTTTTTTTGTTTTGTTTTGTAAAAAGTTGATTCTATAGAAAGATAACTGCAGCATTTTTGCTGGGTCTTGAACATCTGAATTTCAGCCCATTTTCTGCTTTAACAAAGTTAGTTTTGGTGAGTTTGAATTTCAGTAGTAGTTGAATGGAGCTGTAAAGACAACCCATTTACCAAAAATGCAAAACAAATTTTTTTTCTTTTATACCCCAATGTCAGATCCTTATGAAACTTGCCTCAATGGCTATTTGTTTTTTAAGAATTAACGTTAGAATTTATAAACAGAGTTTTTAGAGTCAAATCATATTAGCTTGAACTTCAGCTGTTTCCTAAAATAATTGTGTTTAAACCAAACAGTTGTGAAATCTATACATAACATCTCTACTTACCAACAGAAGTAATACAGGAAGAAGGGAATAAGCAAAGCCAAAACTTATCTCCATTTCTGTGCACAAAGTTGTTGAGATATTATGTTTCATTTCCCTAGGCTAAATACATATTTGTGAATTTATATATCATGTGTTTCAAAGCCATCACAGCTGCCCCTTGTGAGATGTAAGAAGTCTTTGATTAAGAGGTAGGTAGGTGAAGACATGACACTACAATATTTTCTAGAATTATTTGAAGATAATACTAGATCCCATTTCAATTTACCAGTCGCTCTTTAAAAAGTATGTGAATTTACCAAGTCTTTGTAAATCCCCTAAAAAGTGGGTATAGAATCAACAGAATTCAAAGTGGCTATTCTGAGAAGTCATGAGTCTCAGTGCAATGTAAAGTGACCTCTTACTCCTGCCTTCTGGGTCCTGATTTTCATATAGAGTATTTTTTGATCTTGCTCATGTTTGCTCAATTTCTGTTTAAACTGAAAACAAATAAATACACAAACTCAAAACTCAGCAAAAGTCAAAATTTTGAAAAATGGTAGAGACAGTTATTTCCTGTCATGTTTATCTATCACATCTACTTCACACTTAGTCCACTTCCTTTCAATTTAAAAAGATAATATAATTATTTGCTGCGTATTACTGTGTTTGGCATTGCTACAAGCAGTGCGTACTAAAAAGATGAATGTTTCCTTACTCTCAAAGAATCTGCAGTCTGGGGCAGAACATCATCCTGTACAGAAATATGAAACTAGGCAACTGTGACCTAAGAGGTTCTTAAGCAAAAGTTACTTTAAGAGGGGCGTGAGTTTCAGAAGGCCAAACTGATGGCTGTATCATACCATTTTGGAGCATGTACCTCGTGTTCTTTACTGTGGATTGATGGTACTTTGGAAACACACATACATTTTAAATGCTTAAGCTTTGTATATTTGCCATTATTCTTTATCATTTGACCCAAAGGTCAAGAGGAAATTCCCTACGCAGAGGGAATGCTCCCCTGTGCCACTTAGCCAGGGAGGAAGATCTCTTCTCCTTGGTCCTTGTATTCTACTGAAACTCTGAATGCACCTCTTAGTTTATCTGGGAACTCACAAGGAGACAGCAGGCAGCTGCTAAGCCAAGCTGCTTGGAAGGGCAGCTGCACCATTCTCCTTGTTGACTAATTGGATCTCGCTGTGTTTTTTATCAGCTAAATCCAGCTACCTGTTCTTAGCTTCCTTCCAACCAATGGATCTGTTATTTAAAAGGCCAAACTCAACCTTATATTATCATAACAAAATTGTGTTTTATATGTAAGGGCCTGGGAATATCATTTAAAGTGTTTAGTACCCCAATGACCATCTGAAAGGAATCCCGTTACATATGACCTTAAGCCTAATAATGGCATGACCAGAGCACTAAGGAGAAAGACCTGTCTTGCAGCTCCTCTGTGGACCAAATTGGCCATAGCTGTAAAAATCAATGGAAAATTTCTAACCCTTGATCTCAGTTTTTGTTTGACCTGCTTCCCTTGCTGGCATGTTTTCAATGCTAGTATCAGAGTAGAGTGATTAGGCAAAAGCTTTTTTTGTTGTTGTTGTTGTTGCTTTTTCCCAAATGAACAAATATGCTAATGGAGGATAAACAAGAAAACATCAAGACCTGAATAAAGAAAGAAGAATAGCAGGTGGCCTGGATCAATGGCCCTTGGAAAATTGAGAATTGAATGTAATTACAATAGATCCTAAAGGGTTGTCCTTACTCCCACTAGTTTTCTGCCCAATTTCAGCTAAATCTTATTTAGAAGAGGATTTTTAGTTTTTCACATTGGGTGTGAAACTTTTCCTTGTCCTGAAATGCCTGGGAGCATCTCTGTACAGGATGATGTTACCCTTCCTAAAGTCTAAGCCACTTCACCCTTATCTCTGTGGAGCCCTGCTCAGGAGGTAACTTTTAACTATAAGCATGATGAGTTGTAGAGCCTGCAACACCAAGGGCAGTCAGTAATATAGTGAGGATTTTGTTTTTTTACATTCTGTCCAAGATTAATGAAATTACATTGGGTGGAATATGCCAGGACAAAAAAAAAATCCAGTGTTACCTATTTCCATTAATTTAGTCCTATTTCTATCTTTTTCATCCACCCATTCCTTTTGGGTCCAATGGAGAACTCAGAAGACTTACTCAGCTACATAGTGATTTTGGCTGAGGCATGTCTTACTTTAAATGTCCTTGGAAAACTTCTAAAGGTGGGGCAAGAATTCTGAGAGACAAAAACATTGCTTTTTGCTTAGAAATTATTGAGATTAGATGAATCAGATTTCTTCTAATCCCACCAACCAGAATGGCAGCCATGGTCATCTCGATTGCTAAGTAAAATAGTTTAATATCCATATTGCATGAACCAAATATTTAATAGTCAGCTTTAAACAAACTATTAAGTTTGCAAATATATTAGTGTTTAAAAGTCACTGCTGACATTTCCCACTCATGATGAATGAGTGGGAATGAATCATAATACAAAAGACCACCATGGCCAGTCCTGACTGTTTAATTGATCCTTTGTTTTTTGTCCCCCAGATTTTCTTTTCTCGAGACCTGGAGGATGGGGTGGGGGGGAAAGGCAGCATTGACACTTTTCTTTTTCTTTTTCTTTTTTTCAGATTCAGAAGAGTAAAAAGACTCACATACACTAAAAGAGGCTGCCAATGTCTTGCATCATTTTAGCTGAGCTTCTTCATTCTTCTTCTCCTTCTTCCACAAAGACCCTTACTGGGAAGGTGTACAACTTTCAAAAGCAAGCCCCCCTGCCCGGCTTTCTCTCAGGTCATCTCCTCACAGGGGGTGACGACTTGGGGGTTGGCTTGAAGTGTTAGAACTCTGAGGAATTTTCCCATGACTAAACAAAACCACTTGGGATTTTTGCACAAACCTGAAGGGGCTTCCTAAAAAGCCTTTGCAGATGATTGGGCTTTCATGACACCTGACTGGCCTGATGAGAATGGACATCCTGGGTATGTTGGGAAAGGCCTACGAAAGCCACACACAGTAATTGCCATTTTATGACTGTCACTGTCATTACTTTAAATGCTTTTGTTTTTGTACTGGCTACTGATGGTGAATATAGCCACCCTAGCTTTCATTACAATGAAAATGATGATTCCAATATCTGGATCTGTCCTAATTTGGAAACCATTCATTTTCTCCAATTTCAGACCTAAAAATTGTTCTTATGCTTTTTTTCCCATTTGTATAATATGAAATGGATTTCATGCTTAATTTATTTTATCTGTGCAGTCATGAATATAAACCTCAGTGTGTCAGCCGATGACTATACTGTCAAGTGGAAACTCCACTGTTTCCATTGGGCAGCATCTGTTACTAAGGAGTTACTGAATCGTTGACCACTGGCTGGTCTTCTCATCACTTTTCTTTCTTTCCTTTGTGTAATTCAGGGAAAAGATAAGGGAACTAGTGTCAGGGAGATAGGTCCGATTATTCTATAAATTTTAGTGAGTCTTTTAAAACTAGTTAAGAGCTGATTATAGCACAAATAAAAAATAAGAATAATAGATATGACAGGGAAAGGGAATAATGATGTAGTTTCCTGAAACAAAATGAAAAGTGGGATAGCTACAGTGGAATGCAAAAAGGTGTGATTTTTATGAGTCTTAAGTAGTATGATTTGGAGAAAGTTATTCTTACCATGTGATTTTGGGTCACCAAGACTAACGCACGTGAATGTTCTGTGCTAAATCAGGATTAGGAAAAGAAAGAAAGTGAGCCAGAATATGGGCTGAAGTGTAACCCCACTGTGATTTAATTTCTACATTAAAAGCACAAAAACTATACTTAAAAGTCTCTGCATCACGAAAGCAAAATGTTCCCATTTCATGAGACAGAAAAAGGAAAGCTGGATGTGGTCTACAAGGGCTTTGGCTCCCTGAAATATTTCACTATAGAAAGATGTGCAGAATAGTACTGTACGGAGTACACAGTAGGGTGCTGTTGTGTGCACAAGTTGCCTCTCTCGGTCTTATATTTGGCTACCTGTGACACATTTTTCCATTGCCCTTTCTGTTTTCCTAATTGATCACAGTGAATAAATGTGTTCTTAAATTCAAATGACTTTAGGTGCCTAAATAGTTCAACTAATGAGTAAAATAAGTCATGTCATCTCATGGCTGTTGTGAGACAGGCCATTTATAATGGGTTTTGGCATCAGGGAATAAGGAACAATGGACACAGTGAAGAACTGACAAGGGCTGGTACTGTCAAAAGGAGGCAGCCCACAGTCAGCAGCTAGCTTTGTGCTATGTAGGGATGAGAGGTTCTAATTACCTAAGTTTTTATGTAAATACTTTTCAAATTTTTACATATTGGCAAATAACTCAGAAACGTACACTGTGCTGGTCAAACAAAACAAGACTATGAATTACATGCAATCCATGGGACATAATTTGCAAACTATGTTTTTACAGATGGTATGGTTTTGTATAGGAATTAAATACAGCCAAGTGTATGTCAGCTCTTGACATTGAAACCTGGACCTTTACCTCATTTCTATTCTGTATTTTTGTATGTGGAGCTTTTTGGCCAGCCAAAATAGAATGCCTGCATCTTCCATTTTTATATTCCAGTGAGCACCACTATATAGTATTTTAAAATAAATAGGAATATAGCCATTGTTTTCTAGCACCAATAAAGATGGAAGTGTTTTCCATTTGCTTTATGTCATTAATTAGCTAAAAAAAAAAACAATAGGAGAAGAATTTTATACCATACAGAATTTTACCTAGAATGCTCAGTGAGAAAAACAAAAACTCCATGTAACTCAGTTTTAAATCTCTTAAAGGTGTTTTGAAGGTACATAGAGTAAAAGCGCAGAGTTATCTGTTTAATAAAATACAAAATAATGTGTTTCTATTATGAATTGCTACTAAAGATGATAAAACATTAAAGTAATTAATGTAAATCAGTATCAACTGGAAAAATATTTCCAAAGTTCTAGCTCATTTTCTATGGTGTTTTAATTCTATTGAAACTGCTTCTCGCAAGTTGAGGGGCAATACAGGACAAACATTGTCCCACTGCAGTGACGGTGGCATCATACTCTGTTTTACACACTGCCTCAGGGCTTGTACACCTGACTCGGGATTGACTAGAATGTGAAAACAGAAGTAGAACCATCCTTACTAATAAACCACAGGTCCTAATAAACCACAGGTTCTACGCATCCTTAGGTAGAACCCGACAAATGCAGTCTGCCCTTGAATTTGCATCTTCATGTCACTAAACACATACACAAATTGTGTTCATCTGGAAGATTTGGTGGCATCACAACTCATTCTTAGGGAGGTCTGCATTCCCTTCTTTATTTATGCCTATTTTTCCTAGGTTATGAGCCCAATCACTTATGGTAGAAAACAAAAGACTTACTTCTATGTCTAACCTACTCATTCAAATGAACTTTTTCTTACTGTCGACATTCTTGGAGCTTTTAAAAACTATTGAAAATATTTTATAGGATCCTATTATGGAGGTAGTATACTTAACAGTAAAATAGTATGAAACACCTGAAACCCAAAAAATAATCTAATGATTATACACATTTCATTTGCAGAGATTAAGGTACTATATTTTCCATCTGGAACTATGTATTTAGTAAATGTAAAAATGAAAAATAACGAGCAACACTATCATGGAATAAGAAAGACAGAAGACAAAAAGAGATGAATATGGATGAATTCTGTAATCCGTATTTTGGCAATAAGGTTGCTTGACTTTTCACTATTCTCTCTTGAATGACTTCTTTAAATAGATGGATAGGTAGATAGAACATATAATATATTTTCTTCTACTGTTACTTAATATCTGAGCAAATACTTAGATAATAGAAATTACTTTGTAGTATTTCCCATACCATTTGGATTAAGCAAAACAAAACAAAAAAGGTAGCACCTTCTCCTCATAGGCTAGAGAAGATTCTGATATAGAAAACCTATGTATGTGGAATTATATCACAAATAAAGAAAATGTAGGGAATTCCGGCAACATTTTTTGAGAGCTTTCTTGTCCAGGTTCTGAAATGCCCACACAAATCACAGGAGTCATAACATTGGCCCAACACAGTTCCCAGTACTCAGCCAGTGTTCAGAAAACACATATAAAATTATTGAAAGTAATTGCACTATCCTCCTGTCAATGCAAAAAAAAATTTCAAATTTACCTAGAAAATGCACTCAACATCTCCTCTCTTGCCAAGCTATCACTGTTTATGAGGCTTACATTCTAAATAGATGCAGACCCACCCTGAGAAGTAGAAAATAGTAGATCATTCAGGGGAAGTTGTCAAAGCCAAACATGAAAAATAAATTTAAAATGTGTATGGCTTTCTAATTTAAGAGAAAACAAAAACAAAGTGAAAGAATCTTAGAACAAAACACAGTTGGTCTGAGAATGGTGTACCAAAAAGGATGATGGCACGAGTCTATATGAAACACCAGCAGTTTTCTTAAGAGTCTTAATTTGAAGCTTTTAAAAATTAAAATAGACTCTCCTGAAGCAAACAGGAAGTTCTATATGTGGAGCATGAGAAACCATTGCACAATTCTCTTCCACCAGTATTAAAGTGGACATAGCCTTGAACCACATCAAAATTAGATGCTAAAGAACATAATATTGCAATGTTTTATTGGATCTTATTAATGAATAAATAGAAAGTAATGCTTATAATTCATCAACCGTGATTCATGATTAAAGACCTCATTATCTCTGGGAAAATGAACTTAATGAAAAAATCGTAATGAACAGCAACAAGATTTTATGAAACATCCCTCTGGGAACCAAGAGACATATTACCTCAAGGCCAGATTTCAGTTTTTAACACTTACTGTCTTCGAAGACACGGAGAGGCACAGAAATGACACTGCAATTAGAACGAAACCAGTGTGACCTATATTAGACAATTTATCTGATTAGTAAATATAGGTCAAGGAAGATTAGAAAAATGGGACATAGGCCTCCGGAGGTCCTCACTGGACATTTGTAAAGGACAGGTGCTCCTCCCTAAAGGCCCAACAGGAATTGCTTCATTGAAAGAACTTGTTTTCACATTAAGTAACTCTGGAATGCAATAGGAGCCTAAACTACAAAGTTCAAGAAATTCAGATTAAACCACACAGCTGAGGTGAACTGACATATATCCTGGCTTCAGTTCTCAAGCAGAAGTGGGTTAACCGTGGAAATGGTAGAGTTCACCAAATGGAGCTGGACCTGCCTGAGTTTGCCATTACAGAACCCAGAGAAGCACAGTGATATGTGGGCCCTGTCAGCTCCCTTGGTACACTTACTCAGTTCCCCTGGAGAGACCTTGCCACCCTTTCCTCTGATAAATGCTGGCTGAAGCTGGACACAGTAGGTGCCATCTGGGGAACCCGTCATCTCTGCTTTGGTCAGCTTTAGCTCTGACTCCTGTACTTTACTCTGCATTTTTCATGAGAACTCACTTCTGCACCTACATTTCTCAGTTTATGGTGCAGGGTAACTCAGTTAAAATAAAGCCCTTTAAAACCCAATAACTTCTAAGTAGGTTGCCCCAGAGACACATCTTGAAATCATCTTTACTCCTGTCATGATCTATCTTGGGGTAGGAATTTGTATTCTCTCCATGTAGTTGAGGAGTTATATGTGTGATGGTATGGAGATACAGAACATACCTATATACATGGATTTATAGTACAAATCTACAGCCATAAGTATTGTCTAGTAACTGATTCTATAGATAGAACTATAAGATATAGCTTCCCCTTTTTTCTTGCTTTGATATTTTTATATAATTTTATATACTGTTAAATTTTTAAATATATACTTTCTATGTTCATTTGTAGAGCTCAATTTTGTTTCTGTCAGCTTTTTTTGCCTGCTGTACAGCCAGATTCTTCCCAAAGATCACCACCTAATTTAAATATCTTTACTGTTTCATATCCTTATATTTACCCTTTCCTTCTCACGTTTTTCCACATTTCCAAAAGTTCTCCAGTTACCTTTGTCCAGGTAAACCATTCTGCTTACAGTATCATTTTAATACACAGAAGTGCAAAATAATGGGGGGAAGGTATCACTTTCCAGTGAAACCCATATGAAGGAGCGTTGTGTCTCCATGGCAGGACAGGGGTAGGTTGGGAGCAAAGAATAGATTGGTGAAAGGAAGCAAGAATAAGGAAATAGTTATGAGAGCTCACTTGCTCAAAGAAAAGTGAGTCACTTTGAGGCCTATAACACAGTTATCTTCCCTTAGTGCAGAGTGTAATTTTTACTGTCACAGGTTTTTCTGCTTAGCATGTTATGCCCTCACCAGGGGACTGTAACCTGTCACCTGTAAGGGTTCCGGCCAGATGTGAATGGAAAACCTCCTCAGCCTTAGATTTTACTGCATTGCAGATCGGAATTAATGCCACAAATGTTCAGTAAGATTCAAAAGAGAAAGGCAAGCAGAACCAAAATTCCAAACTACCACCCAGATCATGCTGAATACATAGTTCTTTGGAAGAACAAGGAAGGGATCTCTGAATATGTTCCTCAAATGCTCTTCCAAACAGAAAGGAGAGATGGACTTTATTAACCGCAGTGATATTATATACTTCCACAATGTGAAATATGCTCTGGCAAAAATTTTTTTTTTTCTGCTCACAGTTTATGTTCATACATCAGAGGGCAAGAGAATGACTGTCCACTCTGAGGAAGTGCTCTGTTTCCTAGGACGCTGCTATGTATTAGAACAACCTATTCAAATGCCATAGCTTCATTTCTCCAAATGAAAAGTTTAATTATAAGGACTCATGTCAAACAGTTTGCTAAGATGCTGTCAAAGAATTAAAGTTGTGTTTATTGTAAATCTTTATTTCACAAATGAGCCGGAAAGTCATAGAATGTATAATTTCCCTCCAGCATCAGTAATGAATAAGTACTTGTATGTTCATCTTCTGATTACTAAATAAAACAATGAATTAAGCTCTTAATTGGAAATTGAAAAATTAAGTCTGTTTAATTTTTTAATGTTGTCTACATTATTTCCAAAGATTTATAGCTTTTCAAAGTTTCTTCTCTACCACATGTCCCCCAATTCCCTTGTAACTCCCAAGTACCAAGTGCCTTCACCTACACTCTAGCAGATGCTCTGAAAACACAACTATATCATGTTCCATATCATTTTTTTGACTGATGGATGAGGTAGATGGGTTACCAGAAGCTCTTCTAAAGACATAGGAAACTTCAGCATTCATGGGATTAGGCTGATTTCTAAAGGTCATTTTCAATCAGGGTGCAAAAATATTAGTGGTTTTACACCCCTGTGATACTTTGAAATACCTCACTTTTTACTTTCTCTTGAAAGGCCTATATTTGGAAACATTTTCCTGCTCTTTAGGAGTCTGACTAGCAAATAGTCATAACCCTTGTTTGTGGGGACAGAAGGGCTTTAATACTGTGGACCCCCAGCCTGCTTCCTTGAAATTGGCCACTAAGAAAGGACCTCCTGGTAGTGACAAGGCCTATTACACAAATGCCAGCTCCCAGTGGGCTGCCTCTGCATAATGTTCTAGCGTAGCCACTGGATTGTTACCCATTTTAGAAAATATAACCTTGCAGAGCCCGCCTCTACCCTGCAATCTGGTTGTACTGTAAAACCATTACTCTTATCAGACCATTAATAAGAACTTAAAATCACTTGTAACACCCAGAATTAAGCACTGCATATGGTATTTCCTTATGGTCTTGTACTATGTGTTTTTACACAGCTAAGGCCATACTATATACTTAATTTTGTATTATGGATCACTCATATAACATTGGTTTATAAACATTTTTCCATTTAAAAAAAAAACTCCTTGCTAATATAATTTCCATAGTAACATGATGCAGTATGTTATTTTGTGACATTGGCACATTTTATTAACCACTATTCTACTGTGATGGTTATATTTTTTCATTTTAGATTTTGCATTTTAAAATAATATAGCAATGAAGATCTTTGTGTATGAGGCTTTGTCACACTTCAGAATATCTCTGGAAAATTTCTAGATACACAATTAAAATTATTCTGTTAACATTTTGTGGGATCCTCATTCATTATGCCCAATTCCAGTGCGTACTCAAATGTTAAAAGTCATAGTTAACACATAGGGTAAGATATCTTGATATCTCTTGTGCTTTTTTGATGAACAGATGTAATCAAGTCACACCAAAGCAAAACAGTGTTGACAGTATTGTATTGCGGAGGAAAATATTATTTAACACTGAAAATAAGCTGTTCTCATTTAGACACTACTGGAAGACAACTCTTAGGAAGGTGTGTGTGATTTGAATTTCTCCCATTGTTCATTGATTCAACATGCTGAAGCCCAACTTAAACTTACGTTGATATACTTTCTTTAAAGCTGTAAAGGAGCAAAAATAATTTGTTCAGACACTCAGGCTTGATGCCCAAATGGAACACAACATTGGCAGATACACTTAGCTTTAATGATCAGAAATGTATGGGTGTGACAAAGGCATTAATTTATAATTAATGCTAAAAAGTGTTTTAAAATGCCCAAAATACTGACAAACATTTTCATACCTGTGGCGTTCCCATTTACCTCTGCTCGGTGGACTTGAGTGTATCATAATAACACTCAGATCATTCATAATGACTCCATTTAGTCTCAGATGGCTCTGAAATCACCCTTTCTGCGGCAGACATGGGCCTGGCCAGGCTAACCCTATTTTGTAGAGAGAAAGTGGTGGGTAGAGGTTAAGTTGCAAATCGCTACAGAATAGCACTCGTTGCAGGATATCCTGATTCTTAGGGTGAGTGTTTACTGTGAGACAAGCAACCTTGGCTATCACTTCATGGTCTTTTTTGTAGACTCCTGATGAATTGCACGTATTGCCTTTTAGATAAAGCAACTAAGGACATTAATTTGAAGTAGCTGAAAGCTACTTGTTTGTCAAACAATACCTCAAGTCACAAAAGCTGTGGTGATGACATTTCTGCCCTGAGCTGACTGACTGGGTTGTATACTCCCTGTACGTTTACTGTGGGTAAAGGATTATGTAACTCTTGACCTTCAAGTGCTTATTTCTTAAAAATCACACACACACACACACACACACACACACACACACACACAGATGCACACACACACGTTCTTCCTCTTGAATATAAACTGAACAATAAGAGTCGTATATTGCACTTTACAGTTTGTTAGTTTTGATGTCTACTCTTGCTACAGTCTCACAATTATGTCCTAAATGGTTGTTTTCACAAATAAATGAAGAAAATACAACTTGATGCCAGAACAGATACAGCTATTTATCTATTTGTTTTTTACTTTGCCTGCCTTGTTTTTAAATTATTTGAGATTTCTAAAATCATCTAAATTGATTCATTAGTTTTTTTTTTAAATTAATGTTGTCAAGTAGATCCAGGGTCACAAAGTAGGGGAAAAATCTATATATCGATATGCTTGCCATAGAAGCCTGTCCAGTTTCCAGCAGTAAGAGATAAATGGGATTCTAAGCTTCGTGGAAACCCAAATGGAAAGAAATCACTCACAAAATTCAGTGTTCAGTGGTCTCAGGTCTCCTACCTGAGACCAATTAAGCAACATCCTTGGGTGAAGAGCCCAGAAGTCAGCCTGTGACACCAAATGACCCTTATATAGAGCCAAGATTGAAAAGCAGTGACATTAAAGTCCCTCATGGAGCAGCATCTGTGTGTGGACTTCTACAGAAATCCAAGAGCCAGATGTATGCGTTAGTTTGTCTTCATTATCTGCCTTTGTGGTATATAGGACAGTGCAGTGTGAAGGCCAGAAGTGTATCTGGATCTCTCAGCTTAGCTTCTGATGTTTTCCCTGGGATGGGAGTAAGGGAAAGGTAAAGACGTCTAGAAGTCAAAACTTAGATGAACTGGGTATTTCTCCTATGACTGGAATACTGAGTGATTAGTGAGCTGGTACTTGCGGAGTAGAAGATGTTGTCAGGAAAACAGCCTCAGGGAACCTGGAGCCAAAGGGAGGCTGAGAACGAGCCATCCACTGTGGTCTTCAGTGCTATCTGAAGGTTTGGAGAAATCAGAATCAGATTTGTGTTATGTTCCTCTTCTTCCCATCTGTTTCATAATTATGAGAGGCAGGTGGGAATGGAGCCCTTCCTGATGGACTGGACATTCATCAAGCATACAGAGAAAGCAGCACTTAAGGAAGGGATTACAGACCTGCCTTTTCACTTACCTAATGCCAGGAAAGATCTAGCTCGCTCAGGGTGCCAAAGAAAATGAAAAACTGCCTCAAGGAAGTCATCAATCTGAAGGGCTTTGGAAGATCACAGCAAGTTACTATTTTTTTAATTGCACCAAAAATTCCTATGAAATACTGTGTCAATAGTGAATGTTTCTACAAGCAGTAATATTGAAAACTTGTAGTCATTGAGTGTTTTGCAATTTTTCAAGTACTCATGTAGGCAAGCTTAAATTGGATCTCTCAGCTTCACTGGGCTATGCAAGGAAAGCAGAACACAAAATTTTCCAATAGCTAGACAGGAAGGAAATTTCTATTACACAAGGTTCCCTGCGGATTGGAATCACCTGTGAAGGTCCCTGAGCGTCTACTCCAGAAGTGTTGGCTCCCTGTGTCTTGTTTTCCCCTTTAGTTGAAGTAATTGTTCCAGGTTTTCGTTATCCTTGGGCAAAGTTGAGAGACTACTTGAAAAGGAAACTCAGATAATGAATTGGTTAAGAAGAAGCAAGAGTCACAGGAAAAGTTTCTGGTTTCAACTTTTAAGCATCTTGGCTTAAATTTTATCAGTAATTCTGAGCAAATTACTTAAAACTACCTTCGATGCTAAGTGCCGTAAAATGGGAGTAGTCTTACTGTCAGTGTTAAGATCAGAAAAACAATAAATGTACATTTCCTTGTGATTACCTAATAGAGTGCCATGGACACGTAATTGTTTTATATGTGACAGTAACTATTAGTGATGACCAAATGTCTACATTGGGAATCATGGCTCTGAATAAAATTCTGAATCCTACTGCCATACTAGAACAGTGGTTCTCAACTGAGGGCAGCTTTGCTTGGAGGATACTTTTGACTCTCACACTTAGGATAGTGTTGCAGAGGCCAGAGACTCCCCTAAACCTCCTGTAATACACAGTACAGCCTTCGCCACAAGGAGTTGTGAACCCAAATGTCACAGTGCTGCTGTTGAGAAATCTTGTCCCAAGTGCTCTATGATGTAAGTAAAAACTCTTTGAATGACACTGAGTCATTGACATGCGCACCTTGGAAGCAGGCCCAAGTGAAACCCAGAGGTATTTCTGGTGGAAGGAGAAGGACTCTGGATCACAAGGTTAGAGGCTTGGGTTTGCATGCTGAGAGGACCTCCTCAAGGCTGACTCATGGTCTACCAAGCCTTCTGAAAGATGATGTTGAACTGTACCTGCTGGCTTGTGAGGTGAGGTGGCCCTATCCCTGGCCAATGTCATCCATGATAAATCTTTCACCTCTTAGTGTCCGAGACATTACATTAGTCCAGTTAGGAATAAATTACTTGTGCTTGTCATGTTAAAACATGTTAAAAGGCAAAGCTCTAGCTTCTTTCACTGGAATTTCTGTTTTGGTGTCTGGAAGAGGATTGTGGATGCCATAAATTATACGAATCATCACTGAGGAATCTCGAGGCCAGTTCCATCCAGGTTAGACCCTTGAAGATCTCTTTAACTCTGTCATTTAGGGCAGCCATAAGACCTGGGAAGCATATATACTACTAATATCCTGCCAGCTACAGCTGGCAGTTGTATCTTATCTCACACAAATTAACACCCTTGGAAGGTGTGAGGTGATTGGATTAATTTTGTGTTTTCTGTTTTCACTACTCCTATTAACATCACTACTAATGCCAAGAATACTAATAATGCTAACAACAACCATAACAGGATATCAACATTGATACCATGTTCAAGATTAAAATAAAATAGTCTCAAGAACCATCC